ATTTTTTGTATGATCCAAGAAAAATCTTTCCAGCATATGCGAACCACTAAAGAAATTGAGGGTATTTGCCCCAATCAAAGGCTTTTTCAGCATCCATCGATATAATTGCTCCAGGAATTTGGCATTGATTGAGATCATGCATAATGTTAAATAAGCGTCTTGTATTGTGACATGACATTCGATCCTTTATAAAACCGTTCTGATCTGCATCCACGATATGAGTCATTACCCGTTCCAACCTGCAAGCCAACACTTAAGATTAAATTTGTATGTCCACTCCAAGTAGACTTATTGGTTGGTATGAGGAGCAGAGTTCTGGGTTTTTCTTTTTCTTTAATATAAGTGTTACATTTGCCAAATACATTGATTCTGGGAGTTTTGAGTCCTCAATAAATGTATTGAAAACTCTAAGTACTAATTTATTGATCTTCCCCAGGGTTTTAAAAAACTTAACCAGAAATCTGTCCGCCCTGGCGACTTCCCGGATTGGAGTGAGGATATGGCTGTAGCGATTTCTAATAAGGAGATGGGGCCTTCCAAAAGATTAGCCTGATCTTCTGATAGTTGTGGGATTGTCAGACTGTTTAAGAAGAGCCTTTCCTTGAGCTTATTCACATCGCTTTCAGAACTATATAACTTTCATAGAACCTTTTAAATGCATCATTAAAACGAAGGTTATTTCTTTGTCGTTGACTAGTTTCGTCCTGTATAGATGAGATAAAGTTCTTTACTGGGGCATTCCTTGCTAGCCGTGCTAGTAGGCGGTTTGGTTTGTTGCCAAATGCGAAGAGTCTTTGGCCCTTTCCGAATAGCCACAGTTCAGTAGGCAGTACGTACTATTCAGTAGAGAGTTTCAGTATACTGAACTTTCGTGGTCATTCAGTATGCATTTTTTGGGTCCACCTCAGTATACTGAACATTTCAGTATGGATACTAACTTCCGGGTTTTATGCAGTATGGATCGGATGCGTGCTTTCAGGAAATTAATTGTATTTTACCACCCACAATGCTGTGCGAAATTAAACGTAAATCGTCACTTCACGTCCGCCACCAAATCAAAACAAACGAGTGTGGATTAATTGAATCAATTTTTAATCTAGAGTTAAAGCCCGACTGAAATCACTACTTTTAATTAACAAGAGAAAATATAACAAATGTCTGCATTATTATAAAACCGTTCTCCCTCTATTTAAATAATGATTTCACTATTTAAATGCGTCTTTATTGGTTTATTTTACTTTATATTCTGTATATTACTGTCTTTCATTTGTACTTTTCTTTATGAAGGCTACTGTATGTTATTTAGTTATTTAATCTGTCTTTTACTTGATTTACATTGTGATATTGTTTTTTGTTTACCTGACTGTATATGCGCATTACTCTTCTTGAATAAAGCTAAACAAAGAAAACAAAACAAACAGGTGAATGCGGCCGGTTCGGGAAACGTAAATGACGTCACTTCCATACTGAGTGAATCAGAAGAAGTAGGAACAAATATCTGCCTACTGTGTGTGCATACTGAATAGTAGGTACTAACAGTATACAGCACGGATAGTAAAAGATTGAGTGAAAGATTTAGTAGGTACTTGGCAATTCGGATACAGCCTTTGTTTGGCAAAAAGAATGTCCTTTTCCGCTTTTCTTGTTATCAGATTCTGCAACATTATCCTGGTTGCCTTTAGTTCTCATAGCTGAGTGTTCTATTAAATAAGATAAACATCTGGACACAAATATATAGTGACGCTGAAGAATGGGAAGAGACTGAAATGTGTAGCCTTTTAACAAAGGATTGAAATGCCTCCACACATCTAAAAGATCAAATTCCTTAATAATGTTCACGACTGCCCGTGCATTACTGGACTGAGTGTTTTGAGGTGGAAGCCTATCCAATGACGGAGATAAACTACAATTAAAATCTCCTCCTATTATCCTATTTGGACAGTAAAAGTATATGTATGTTGTGTTCCAACAATAACTGCTTCATATGATCCTAACCAATCTATGACTTTAAATCGTGTGCAAGCTTCAAAAAAGAACAGAGATGGTTCCAAGCAAAAACTGAACCACGTAGCCTCCTCCGGCGCTTGCTGACTCCTTCCTCCTTTTCATTACCTAAGCGGAGAAGTCCTGGAAGAAAGATACGTCCTGGCCTTCCACTTTAATCCTGCCCTTGTTCCTTGCCGCATACAAGATTCTCTGCTTGTCGGTGTAGTTGTGTAGCCTCACCAAAACAGCTCTCGACCATCTTTGCCACCAAGCCTCAGCGGAGGACTGGTGTGGTGGGCTCTCTCAATCCGGATTCGCTCTCCTAATATGCCCAGAACTTCTGGGATCCATTTTTCAAAAAAGTCCACCGACTCCTTTCCCTCCATGCCTTCCTTAAGTCCAACAATTCTCACAGTCTGCCGTCAGCTTTGGTTCTCCATGCTTTCAATACGGTCCGTTGCTCTTCTCAGTGCAGTCTCCAGAGTATCCACTCGCGGTGTGACCAGCGCTGTTGTATCCTCCAGGTCCAAAACCCGTTGCTAAACAGCGCCAATCCTCTCAAATAATGTGTAAAATTTCTCATGCTGCATCATCGGAGTCACCATGCTCATTATCTTGGCTAGCAGCAGGCATAGCATTAGCAGCAGAGTTTCTTTCCTTTTAGCCGACCCACACGACGTGAAAAAGTTCTCCACAGACATTATCAATACCGTCGTCACTTTGGATATCAGTTGACTGGCAAAAAATACTGTAAAATATTGATTAAGAATCAACCCGTTGGGGAGACGAAAAATCTACGTCCTCTCGTCTCCGTCCGTGCATCACGTGACCCCCATGATGTCTGATTTTACCTCCACTGTATTTAGACAGTGGAGTCTCCTCCCAGTTGGGCGTGCCCGGAAAACCTCCAAAGGTTGGCGTTCATGAGGATCCTGATCAGATGCCTGAACCACCTCAACTGACTCCTTTCGATGCGCAGGAGCAGTGGCTCCACTCCGAGCTCACCCTGAATGTCTGAGCTCCTCATCCTTTATCTAAGGCCGAGCCCAGTCACCCTCCAAAGGAAACTCATTTGGGCCGCTTGTATCCACGGATCTCATTCTTTCGGTCTCGACTTTCTTCTTTTATATTCTGTTTATATGTTCTTTATTTTTGCACAAATAACATCAAGATAAATTCCTCTTATGTGTAAACATATTGAATCTTGATACTGATTGGTCCATGACAACGGACATCTTGGATCTTGTTGCTGTTTTGAAACAATTTTAGCACAAAGCATGAATTAATATCATTAATAAGACGAATGAATTAGTCAAATCCTGAAACAAGTCCAGCAGCAGACACTGAAAACAATTTCTAACCCGACACAGGGTTCTGTTCCTTTCTGATACCCGAGGTTAAAGTCTGACAGGGTTCAATGTTTACATAATTTAGACACACCGTAGTGATCCCTCCTGCCTCCTCCATCCTCATGTTTTCGTTCCCTTCACATGAAATCTGTTTTTAAAAATGCAGCTGTGCTCATTCTTTGTCTCTGCCAGCTTTGTAACGACTTCTCTCCTCCTGCAGATGGATCTTCTTCTCTCTGAGGACTCGCCTCAGTCTGGACTCTGACCAAACGTCAGCATCAGAGTAAACTGTTTCTCTCTCCTCATCAGAACACCCAGAAGTCCAACGAGACGACGTCAGAACAAGAACTGCACAGAGTACAAATCTGAGATTAGAGAGACAAGAGTGATACTTTTTCTGTTGAAGGATTGAATTTATTTTAATGCACTTCTTAGGGGCGGCGGTAGCCTAGAGGTTAGTGTGTGCGCCCCATGTACAGAGGCATAGCCATAGACTTACTACAATGAAGCTTTAATTTAATATGAAGTTTAAGTGTTTGATAAATGACTGATTCTGCATCTTCTTCTTCCTACAGATCTGAGACCATGTGTTTAGTTTGTGTGAGAAAGTCTTTCTCTGGTTTCAGATCTGCCTTCCAAACCCTCTGTGGTTAAAAATCAGCAACAATGATTCACCGCAGGAAACAGACTGACACACAAAACAGGTAGTGAGAGAAAAGAGGTTTCACAAGAAATATCGGTGGCAATGTGATTGTGGTAAAGTTTGTCCTGGGGTGGAGCCAAAGATCCAGATCTGAAGGGTTCACCATCTTCTAGAGAGCAGGACTCACATCAGGACGACACACATGTCGTCTTCTCTTTTCTTCTTTTCTCTGGGGTAAAAATGGTCTACATTTTTCCTGGAGGAAATGTCAGGTCACCTAATATGGTAGACTTCACAAAGCCCAGAAATTTGATGAGAGGGTCTGAGTCCACTAACGCCGTTCTTAGCACTGAGAGCGCCCATTTTCAATACAAGACCAACACCGTTCAGTGTTTCAGCACTCAAGGTCACTTGTCTCTCACTGACCAATCGAATCAAGAAGGGGCGGGACAAAAAAGTCAGAGACATTTGGTCGCTCGGGTGAAAAGAGGAATTGCTCCTCTGACTCTTTAAAGTAGGCAGATTTAAAAACATCCCCAAGGAACAGAGTGAGAGAATGATGGGACTCAGGAGAAGTGGAGAATGAATCTCATTTTCTCTTTATATCGTCTCCCTTCTGATCAGTCAAGATCCTCTTTGATAAATGTATTTTTAAAACCCTGAAAGTTTTGGAGCTCGATCACAACAAAGCTAAGAGGTGATGTTTCTTGAGGGGAGCGGGGCTGTGTGACGCTTGGAGGGAAGAAAAACAAACAAATCAATCAGAGCATCACTTTCAGATGTCAGGTGTAAAACCCCCTCTGAGCATGCTCCACTAACATGTGTCATGTTAGTGGTTGCAATCATCATAAGGGGAGGAGTGATTTTCATGTTTTTGGCTCCCAGCGGCCTGAATGCTCTGTGACTTCATACAATGTGAGGAAGTAAAAGAATCTCAAGGACGTTTATGAAACAACAGCAGGACGCTTTTGATTAGCTTAGTCAGCACACGCGCGCGCGCACACACACACACAGATTTGTACCTCTGCTGATTCGCTGTTTCTCTCCTGACAGGATACCAGGCGTGTCGATGATGCTGATGCTCTGAAGAACCTGATTGGGCATCTGGGAGCAGATAAACCTACACACACACACACACACACACACACACACACACACACACACACACACACACACACACACACACACACACACACACACACACACACACACACACACACACACACACACACACACACACACACACACACACACACACACACACACACACACACACACACACACACACACACACACACACACACACACACACACACACACACACACACACACACACACACACACACACACACACACACAATGTTAAACACAGAAAAATGTTAAACTTTGTGTTTCGTTGAGTCTTAAAAGTCCTATAGATGTATCAAAGCACTCAAATGTCCACGCTTCTTATTTCATTTTTTTTCTCCCTGTTGAGCTTCAGATCTTAAAGACTAAAGCAGACACAAACACACAGCTGCCTCCTTCCCAAGAACTCTTTTAATCTCGACTTGACGTAACGTTTACACCACAGAGACGGAAACCTATCATTGAATTATTTATTTATTTATTTATTGTGTCTGTCTGCAGATGATCCTCGGGTACAGTCAGTCAGTAGCTCAGTACCCGTCTTTACAGATTACAGCTGCAGTTAATGACTGTTTAAGTGTTTCACAAACGTCTAATATGTTTCGTGTTGTCTAAAAACAAAGATTTGGAGATGATCGTCACAGAAAATAAAACACAAACATGAAAACGTTCACATTTAACAAGCTGCAAAGGTTAAGGATCCGGATGCCATAGTTTTAGACTCTGATGTCAAGTTGCAGACAATCTCCTGCACGCTGTCTTCTGAAATAGATATCAGAGATCGTTTTGTATCAAAGTGTTGAACATTCGGACCACGGTACAACCTGAGCAGTTTCAGAAAATCTCTCGATTATTAACGAGTCATTACAATAGTTAGAAACTGATCAACTAAACGGCATTGTTGTGCATCATCTTATCTTAGTGAATCTCCTCCTGAGCTGATTAATGAAGCTGCTCTATCTCTAACTCTGCTCGCTCTACTGTTTCAGTCAGGGAGGATCCAGGTTGTTAAACGTCTGTCAGAGCACACTGAGGCTGTTGTGTAATAAAGTGGGTGTGTGATCACAGAGTGTGTGTATGTGTGTAAACAGTGTGCGTGTATGCAGGAGATAGTTCTGACTCTAAAAAAGACGCAGAAGAAGAAAGTCGAGGATTTCCAAAAATCTTGTTTTTATGATTATGATTGGGGTTCGGACTGTAAATAAATAAATAAACGTCAGAGTGAGACCTCCCAGCTGTCACCTCGTCGTAAATCTAGAGTTTTTGTTAAATTTAGCAGACAGACTTCAGCAGGCGGGAAAAAACAAACCGCCGCCCGCGCCAACACGAGGTGACGCACACACACTTCCTCTGGAAACAATAACTTATTTTGGTTCCTCTATCACACTGAGCTGGGATTCCTGGTTAAAGGAATGTCTCAGGTACACATCGACACACACAAACCTTACACACACACACACACACACACACACTTTGACACACACGCAGTTTGAGGGTCGACTGTCCGTCCACTTCCTGCTCCCGCTTTCAGAAATATTTCTGGACGGAGGAAATACGTTTGGACCGACGTGTTTTTAGCTAAATTTAAACTGAGCTACGAACTCTGACATCCTAAAGGGTGTGTGTGTGTGTGTGTGTGTTTACATCAGTCAGGGGTGAATAGGTTGTTTCCCATCTTTTTGAGGAAAGCAGTGACAGGAGTGTGGAAATCTGCCAAGATCTTTGTGTGTGTGTGTGTGTGTGTGTGTGTGTGTGTGTGTGTGTGTGTGTGTGTGTGTGTGTGTGTGTGTGTGTGTGTGTGTGTGTGTGTGTGTGCGCGTGTAGAGACCTGTCTAAAGAGGGAGTTACCCTCTTTCTTAAACTCAGCAGAGGTTGAGATTCTTCTCATTATTTCATGTTGAAAATGATAGACGATCGTTTAGATCAAACTGTCGCACACTTTCAGTTCTTTAAAATCAGTTATAATAAGTGGAATATTACCGTGTCCGTTAACGCCTTTTTTTTCTAGTAGCGCCCTTAACCTCAGAGGGTTTCTCACCGTTGCTCCTTGTTGCTAGGTTACCAAAGTTTACCTTCTGCTTCCCTCAGTAGTGACTGAAAGGTTTGTTTTAGATCCCTCCATGTGATTAATATTTGTTCTTATTCAACAGAAAATGATAAACAAGGTGAAAGAATCGTGTCCTACACACTCGGCGATTTTAGGGGTATCTGATTCGAGGCGTGCCGCAACCAATTGATGAACAGCCACAGCCAATGAGAGTGAGCAGACCGTGAAGCGTCACCAACCGGATGTTGGGTCACTTTTACAGCTCACAAACGTGGCTGTGAACATAAACACAACTTGTCAGCCAGGTCTCACCAGTCTTCTTTTTCTAATTTTTCTGCTGCAAAACCCAACGCACGCCAGGACAGCCAGCGGACCACGTCCAGCGTCCTCCATCTTTGTTTTTCTTCTTAAGTCACATTTTAAATCGTTACTACAAGCAGCAGGTGTGTTGTGTCGCCGTCTGGCCGATTGGACGGGATGTTGCGTACTTTTAGAGCTCACAAACATGGCGGTGAACATAAACACAACGGAGCCCCGAGCTGAGTGGGATATTAAAGAAGAAGAAGAAGAGCAGCGGTTTGTTTCCTCACCTGTTGAGAAACGAGTTCCCGAAGGCGTTGAGCTTCCTGAAGGGTTTTTTAGGGTCGACCACCAGAGCGTTTCCGGGGATGACGCCCTCGTTCTCGCCGTGCATCACAGCGATGAAGCCGTCTGTGGTCGGCTCCGGACCGATCCGCATCCCGGGGAAGTCCTGCTCCAACAGGTACCTGAGGAGAGAAAGAGAGAGAGAGAGAGAGTGAGAGAGAGAGAGAGAGAGAGAGAGAGAGAGGAGAGATTTAGAGAGGTTTTCTAACGTGCAGGGAGAGAGATGGAGGACGGAGATAAATTTCTTTCATGTTAACATTGACCCTGTCGACCTCACACCTCGTCCCTTGTTTAAGAAAAAGTGAGAAAGGAAGGAAGAGAGGGAAGATGGCTGCAGAGGGTCTGTGTCCGCTCACTTCCTGTTTGTGTCTCATCCTGACGGGGACATCAAAGAGAGACAGCACAGAGAGTGGCTCCGTGTCACACCGTTTCACCGGAGAGGTTTCCCCTGACACTCTGACCCCGGACAATCATCATCATCATCATCATCATTATTATTATTATTGTTATTATCATGCAGTGTTTCCCCAACCATTATGTTAGGGGGACATTATGTGTTTGACGGTGAATGACTTTGACTTGAAGATGTAAAGAAGTTTGTGTTTAAGTTAAAGAGATGCTGACGTTTCAGTGTCGTCATATTTATTGTAAAGCTGTTAAAATGTTCTTTAACACCATGTGTTTGAAAATGATTCAATCTGTTAATTAAAGGTGTGCAGGAGGAGAGGAATAAGATAAATTCCTGCACGCTGTGGAAACTACACAAAAAGAAGAAGAAGAAGAAGAAGAAATATGTCGATTTAGCATTTTACTGGCAACCTGCTCCCATGATTCATAGCATTCTTTTCAGTTCCCATGATTCATAGCATTCCTCGGGGCAGGGTGGGTCCTAAGTAGTGGGGAACACACACACACACACACACACACACACACAGTTTATTCAGCTTTAACAATCTGCAGCTCGCGTTGGACATAAACTGATTGCAGGTCAGCCAAACGAATGACTGTTGGCGCACACACACACACGCACGCACACACGCGCGCACACACACGCGCACACACACGCGCACACACACACACACACACACACACACTCTGCGGACAGGAGATAAGCTCGGTGAACTGTTACTGAAGTGTTGACCTCAGCTCAAAGTCAGGCAGACCGTTTGTTTCCTTTCCCTGCAGGCCGCCACACAGTCCAGGTATTTATGAAACATAATGGCATTCACATTTTTATATCCATAATCCATCACAGTCATCATTAAATCATTGGTCAGTTACTTATCAGCGTGTGGTCGCCTTATACTGAAACTCAAACTACTTCCTGCGGCGGTGCTTTTGGAAACGGATAAACAACGTCACCCACAAAGGTCGTCAACCCTTTCAACACAACAAACAACACAGCAAAGTAAAGAAGCTGAAGACAAACTGTTTCTATCCTAACATATGAGTGCACCTTAGACAATGTGCAGGAGTTTGTCTGCAATCTTTCAACCCAAACAGGGAAACTTTCAGGACAATGAAAAATTAGTTTTGTTGTTGTTTAGCCGACAGTACACCATGACATCATCAGCATACGAAACAATCTGAAAATGATAAAGTCTCAGCTCTGTGTTGTGATCAATGAAAGCTAAATGAATCTTTTATTAATGGATACAAGATGGTGAAAGATTATGCTACTTATTTGCTTAACAGCTAGGGACTAGAGTGGTTAGCGCTGTCACCTCACAGCGAGGAGGTGACCCAGTGACTCTGCACTCACCTTCAGCAGAGAGGATGTGGTGAGAGCCCTCAGGAGGACAAGGGAGAGCAGCTCACCTGGTCCAGACAACATCAGTGGCCGCATCCTGAGGCACTGTGCTGAGCAGCTAGGGGGCGTGTTTCAGACCCTGTTCCAGAGCTCTATGGACAGCAGCACAGTCCCCCAGCTGTGGAAACACTCCACAGTTATCCCCATCCCCAAGAAAAGCCCCGCCAAATCACTGAACGACCTCAGGCCTGTGGCCCTCACGTCTCTGGTGATGAAGGCCATGGAGAGGATCATAAAGTAACACATCATCAGAGAAACCGACTCCCAGATGGACCCGCTACAATTTGCTTATCGTGCAGGCAGAGGTGTCAATGATGCAAAAACATTCATTATAGATACTGTTCACAAACACCTGGAGCACCCCAACACCTCAGCCAGACTCCTGTTTGCAGACTTCTCCTCTGCATTCAACACCCTGCAGCCTCACATCCTGGCTGACAAACTTTCAACTTGCTTCCATCTGAACGACCAGCTTATCCTGTGGATATTGGACTTTCTGACCAACAGATCACAGAGAGTTCTGGTCAACAACACCTTCTCCAACCTCCAACACACCTCAACTGGCTCCCCTCAGGGCTGCGTGCTCTCACCTCTGCTCTTCATCCTCTACACCGATGACTGCAGAACCACACAGCCAAACTGTCACCTGGTGAAGTACGCGGACGACACAGTTCTCCTGTCTCTGCTGTCAGGCCCCTCTCAGCTCCATGGACCAGTTCTTCAGGAGTTTGTGGAGTGGTGTGACAGCTCCTGCCTCGAACTGAACGTGAGCAAGACCAAAGACATGGTGGTGACCTTCTCCAACAAGCAGAGGGAACTGGCTGCAGCTGCAATCACCACAATCCATGGGAATCCTGTTGAACTAGTAGAGGAGTATAAGTACCATCTTCGACAGCCTGCTGAAATTCTCCTCCAACACTGAGGAGATTCTCAGGAAATGTCAGCAGTGAAAATACCTCCTAAGGAAGCTCAATTCCTTTGGAGTCAGTAAGAACATTCTTCTGACCTTCTACTACTCCTTCATTGAGAACATTATGACATTTTCTATAACCTGCTGGCTCCAGTCCACCACCCTCCAGAACAGAAACCGCCTGCAGAGCACGGTCACAGTCTGCTCTAAGATCATTGGACTACCTGTAAGGACTCTGACATCCATCTATGAGCAACAGACAATGAGACGCCGGCTTCGCTGTCCCTGCTGCAGGACACAGAGGAGAAGAGAAACCTTTGTTCCCAGGGCTGTCCAGCTCCTCAACTCCTAACCCCCCAACAGACACCAACACCTCTCACCCAATGCAGACTTGTAAGCTGTGAACTTTGCTGTATCTACTTCCTTTTCTATTTACCATGCACCTTAACAGCCTCTGCACTACATCACTTTATTCTATCCATTTTATATCAGTATTCATACAGTTCTGGTTACTTTATTCCTGTTGTTTCTTATCCATCATTGCATTCCGGTCACTTTTTTTATTTCAGTATTTACCTTTATAGTTATATTATATATATTAGTTCTGTTGTTCCATTATTCGCCATGCACCTTATAACTTATCATTTAGTATTTGCCTACCTGCACATAGCTCTGTATATATATATATATATATATATATATATATATATATATATTTATTTCTCGTTTACTGCACATAGTTCTGTTTACATCTGTTAGTCCGATCACTGTCCACTTATATCTACTATTTTTATATTTTGTATTTTAAGTTAAGTTTAAGCTTAAAGTTGTATTTAAATTGACACTTTATATTTTAGGTTTAAAATGTTTCGTCTACTTGCACTGTTGTTAATTTACTGCTCTGTGTGCCTTTGAATTGCCCTGGGTACAAATAAAGTTTTTTTTAATTGAATTGAATGAACACAAAGAGCAGCAGCAACACCTCGTATTTCATCAGCTGGAACCAGAGTGTGTTTGACTCGTTGGCTTGTTAATACACTGCACTGATTAAAGGATTACAGGTCAACATGCTGAGACCCTTGGAGACCACTATGCAATAACTCCTCTGGAAATCTGCCTATTTAAGCCTCCTGATCAGATGTGGTTTAACTCTTATATAAAGAGACAGATTCAGACCTTCAGTTGTACATCCACACGTTTAACACACTAACTGTTCTCACTGAAGGGGTCTCTGACATCCTTCTGACCCGGGACCCCCTGCTAGCCCTCACTAGCAACAAGCTTACTATCACTCCTGATGACGCAACTTCATAACGCTGAACACAGAACGACAAAAAAACGTCAGCAGAGCCGTAGAGTGCGAGTGGAGGAGCTCAGCAGGTAGGTGATGATGAAGAGTTTGGAGTGGATACTCTGGGAGTGTGAAAAGGGGGGAAGCAGAATTCTGGATAAATTGTAATTTCTGGAGTGTTTTGGATGATGGACCGGAGATGGGACTGTTGACTACAGGAGAGAGAGAGAGCGAGAGAGAGAGAGAGAGAGAGAGAGAGAGGAGAGAGTCTGCAAAAACTGAATAAAAAGATTAGGGGGAAAAGATGGCGGCATGCACATTGATGAACTATATCACACGTTTCATCTTCTCTTCCTCAGCTCCTGATAATTACATCACCCAGACCTCTGCAGCAGAACAGGAAGTGATGTCACAGCTTTGATTAAGGTAATGAGGAAATATTGAGCTGAAGATTTCTGTAGACGGTGTGAGGGAGCATTGTTGGAGTCTGAACCAAACAGAACCAGGAGTAAGGTTTCCTCCTCCGTGTGTGTGTGTGTGTGTGTGTGTGTGTGTGTGTGTGTGTGTGTGTGTGTGTGTGTGTGTGTGTGTGTGTGTGTGTGTGTGTGTGTGTGCAGCTTTAGCAATGTGTGTGTGTGTTTGTGTTAAAGGGGGATATCTGGCAATGTGTATCAGCTCTTCAACTCGTGACAACACACCGCCCTCCAGGCAGACACTATCAGGGTCAGAAACAGTCCTCAGGAATCCCACATGAGACTTTTGAGCGGTTGAAGTGTTCTTCAACCGCTTTGGTTTTTAAAAAAATCACAAACTGGAGGAGATAAAAAGCTTACAGATATCTTGTCATTATACTCACAGACCGTTTCAACCTGATTGTCACTTAATTATTACATGTACACCTTCATAACCTCAGGGCCCTCAATGTGACCTCAATGTGATTCCAAACAGACAGAAGAACTCTATTTTTAGGACTCATTCCATGAGCCGGAGCTGCAGAATCAAAAGGACCCACACTTTGTTAATACACACAACAATGGCCGACCAGTTAAACTCAACTGTAGAAGCATTGATCCCATTCATGTGACAGACTGAAACAGGACTACAGTACCCATGAACCTCAGCTGGTGCCCACCAATGTGTCACCTCCTGCAGGCAGACTTTACAAACACACTGCAGCCAGCTTGAATATGACTCAGGGCAGATGTACACACCACAGCTGACGTCAGGGTGGAGCTGCGTGTGGCCGCAGAGCCCAAAGAGTCGCTGGTTTAATTCAGCCAAGTTTGAGGGAAGTGAGACCCAGGAACTCCTCATGTGCCAGTTCAATTTAGCAGAAGGCACGCTCAAATGGAGCAAGCAAGTCAGATTCACAGCTGCAGTTTATGCAGAACTTTAGTCTGGAACAATTCGACACATAAACTGTCTCACAAGTACAGCACTCTGAAGGGAAACACATTCAACACTCCATTTAAAATATGTCTTATTTAACCCTCTTTTCACATTTGACAGGGTTTAACATTTTAGATTGAAAGCCTGGGGGCATTTAGTGTTAACAGAATGCAGATTGCTCAATTTGGCTTAGACCTGATCCCTTAGAGATCACCTGTTCATAAAATAAAGAGTATTTGATGTTGCCTTAAATGCCGCTTTCCAACAGATTGCTTAGTCATACAAAGCAAGGAGCAGATCTTAATTTTGTACTTTCCCTACAGTGTAGAATAGATTTGGTTGGTTTGATTTGAGCCGATTTCACGATTAGATACGACACTTTCACTTGACAAAAAGCACTCCCACTTCTCTATGCTTATCCACAATCATCAGCATGCAGAAAGTGCAGCAGGTGTGACCTGATCTCACACCTGATAAAAGTGATTCTGGTTCTGCAACATGTGGATTAACTCCCCATCCTCCCAGATGACTTTGAACTAGTAATGGAGAATATTGAAGCACATTCAAAACTCCATTTAAAATATATCAAATTTAGCCCTCTTCGCTTTTATTGCAGGTTTTATATATAGCCTAATAGAACACGTTAAGAGGGATTTTATGAAGACAGAGTGTAATTTGTTTTTTTCAGCTGGGACACACACACACACAGAACATCTTTCCATAAAACATTAAGTATTCTATGCCACTTGTAGAGCCGGCTTTCAACAGATTGCTCAGTTTAAAAAAAAAAGACTTGAAGCAAAACTCTGTCCTTGACCTTCAGTGTAAAACAGCTTTGTTGGGTTTGGTTTTAGCCGAATACATAATGAAATATGACACTTTCACTTTGCATCTAAAAATATGCACTGTCACTTCTGTATGCCTCTTCTATCAAGAGAGCCTAAACAGGCAGATTTCCCTATAGGGTGTGGCATACAGAAAGTATAGTGGGTATGAACTTATGCAACACCTAAAAAAGGTGATTCTGCCACACGAGTAGTAACTCCACACCCTCATAGATGACTTTGAACTAATAATGGAGAATATTAAAGCAGGTTCAGCGGGCTCACACAGACAGAACCCCCACCCTCAGCAGTGGCTCGTACCTGATGAAGGTGGTCTTCCCGGTGGAGTACTGGCCGACCAGCAGCACCATGGGCTTGCTCTGGAAATCTGCGGGCTCCAGCGCGGGGGAGTGGAAGTCATGGAAGAGGTACTGTTCCTCCAGAGGCAGCAGCTTCTTGGTGTAGAGGGTCTGCAGTCCCTCGGTCACAGTCTGGTACATCTCTCCTTCCTTGTTGCGGCCTCCTTGCTCCTGTTTGACCCAGCTGAACATGCTGATGAGCGGATCACTCCACCGACACTCACGCGCTCCTCTCCCACTTCCCTGTTTCGATATTTCCAAATGTTCCGGCTGCGCTCTCTCTCTCTCTGCTCTCTCGCTCAGTCCTTCCGTGTGTGTGTGTGTGTGTGTGTGTGTGTGTGTGTGTGGAAGAGTGTGTGAGGGAGAGTGAGTGTTTGGCACCGGGGAGTCTCCGCCGCTGTGAGCACAGTGACTCTTCTGTGCGTGTTTGTGATGATGTGACCGTTGCTGGTGCTCCTACCTGAGAGCAACGCCCTTCCCCCTGTGACGCAGCATGGAGCGAGCAGACAGACACACACACACACACACACACACACACACACACACACACACACACACACACACACACACACACACACACACACACACACACACACACACTTGTATATTATTAGAAACAGGCAGCAGCCAAAAGGAGCAGTCTGTGTTCCTGATTGTGTAAACGTTTCAAATGTTTCTGAACTTCAAATAGGCTGCAGAACTGGTCCAGGAGGGTTGAGGTTCAGGGATGTAAATGTTTTGAAATCATCAGGGGGTTAAATAAAAGCTTTTAGATGAATGTATCCATTGACTGAATGTTTAGGTCTAATGCAGACCTGCAATAGTAGTAGTCTTGATGTCTCATTATGAAACAGTTAGAGACTTTATGATCCTTTACAGCATTTAAAATAATGCATTAACTTTTATTAAAACCAGAAGTTACCATCACTTATTAGCTTAATAACTTAAGTGTTTAAGTGAGATTTATGTCAACTTAAGGTCGTGTAGCGCCCCCTGTTGGTTAAAGTGTGACAGCACATTATCAGTCATTACTTTCAAACACTGAGACGTGTTTGTCCTTCACAGTTAAATAATAAATCTGATTTTTAATTTCAGCTACATTCACTGTCGGGTTAATTAATTTGATGATTATCATCAAACGTCAAACTGAACCAGCAGAGCGCCCGTGTTGTTAAAGAAGAGGAGCATTTTCTAAAAAGTCTAGTGTGTGGTCGTCAGGGTTGGAATTTCTCATCGAGAGATGTTTGTTTTCCTATGCAGCCACTTCAGCACATTTAACACCTATTCCTGGTTACCATGACGATGGGACAGTGATGACGTCAACACGATGTAATCGCAAACACGATTGATCGGAGGCTGCCGACTGACACAAAGGTTAAAGTTCAGCGAAATGTTCTTGTTTTTTTTTTTTTTTAAATCCAGACTGTAGCTCACATCAGTCCCCTGAATAAAGCGCAGGTGGTCAAGCCCGACCTCATGCCCTTTGCCACGTCATCGCCTGCTTTCTCCTCCAAACATTTCCTGTCTAAAAAAAAAGGCTTTAAAAAAAATCTGTCCCCTGTATGGAGGGTAAACTCGGTCAATGGAAATAGAAAAAACAACGCAGATCAGAAACAAAAGACATAAAGAAAAATTATATAAAAAGAAGATGAACCCAGCTTTCAAAGCCTTCCTTTATTGATGTGTTCCAAAACAAACAATTAGACTAAGTGATCAGGTAACGAATCATGATAGCACAAAGTCTCAGTTCGGACTCTTTAGGAAACAGTTCTGAGTAAATGGAAATCACTGAAACAGATTTCTTATTATTTACATGTTTAAGAGACTCAAAAAACAGGATGATTGAGGGAGTGAAGTGAACATGTGCCTTCATGCCTGAAGTCGAGTCATCACTTGTGCAGCTTTTGGACGCCCTCTCAGCCCATCTCTGACAAAGCCCCGCCCCTCAAATGACTCATCAAGACAAACCAGGAAGCAGTATTGATTTTCACTCAGAGAGCAGAAACAGAAGAAGATACAGATCAGAAATCACAAGGAATACTAGGAGTAATGAACATTAAAATGGAATGAAGTGGAGTCAGAAGGACGAGTTTTAACAGTTTGTTCTTTGAATCTCAATGACTCTTTATTTCTGGTGTGTTACAACATTTTAAAGGATCCTGTCTTTACAGCCTGCAGCTACAGCATCTGAGAAACCTCCCTGAAACAAATCCAGCTGTTCTCCAGTTTGTAACAGAAAGACTTCAGAGATGGAGACCGCCTTGGAGGCTCTCTGCAGTCTGCACAATGAGAAACTCCAACTCTTCTGTCTGGACCATCAGCGGCCTGTTTGTCTCGTCTGCAAAGAGTCAGAAAACCACAGCAGCCACAGATTCAAACCAATCGAAGAAGCTGCACGGGAACTCTGGGAGAAGCTTCGGGAGTCTCTGAAACCTCTGCAGGAAAAGTTGGATCTTTTTAAAAAGGTTGAAGACGAGTTTAATATAACAGCAGAACACATTAAAACCCAGAGACATCACACTGAGATTCAGATGAAGGAGCAATTTAAGAGGCTTAACAGGTTTCTGGAGGAGGAAGAGGAGGCCAGGATGTTTGCACTGAAGGACGAAGAGGAGGGAAAGAGCAGGAGGATTAATGAGATGAGGGAGGCTATGAGTGAAGACATGAAAGATCTGTTAGAAATAATTAGAGCTGCAGAAAAAGAGCTGGAAAGTGATCCAATTTCACTCAAACAGAACCTTAATGCTGATGAAAACAAAGACACAGAGGACAAACTCAAAGCTAAAGATGCTACAGAAGACAAACTCAAAGCTAAAGATGCTACAGGCAACATGCTATTGGTCAAAGACACTTCAGAGGACATGCTAACTGCTAAATATGCAACAGAGGAAAAGCCAACTTCTGAAGACAGAACAGAAGACATGCTAACAACCAAAGACACTGAAGAGGACAAGCTAACAGCTAAAGAAGTTACCGAGGACAAGCTAATAGCTGGAGACACCACAGACGACTGTTTGACTAAATATGCAACAGTTGACAAGTTAACAGCGAAAGACGCTGGAAAGGATAAATCAACAAGCAACTACACTACAGAGGACAAGTTAGTAGCTAAAGGCTTTGAGGAGGACTGGGTAACAACTAAAAAGACTTCAGATGATGAGCAAACTGAGGAGAAGCTAATAGCTAAAGATACCACAGAGGACCAACAATCAGAAGACGAGCTAACAGCTAAATGTGTGACAAAGGAAATGCTTATAGCTAAAGACAGCACTGGGAAGAAGCTAGTAGCTGAAGACACTTCGGGCGACATGCTAACAGAGGACGAACAAATAGCTAAATCGATCTTGTCCCTACAGAAACACCATGCTGTAATGGAGAAGATCAAACAGCGCCTCCTGCTGGAGGATCCCACACTCAGCCCAGGTGCTCTGATCGATGTAGCCAAACACCTAGGCAACCTGAGCTTCAACACCTGGGTCAAAATGAAGGACCTGGTCTCGTACACGCCTGTGATTCTGGACCCAAACACGTCTGATCGAACGCTGATTTTATCCGAAGGTCTGACCAGCGTCAGGTGGGAAAAAGCTGAGCAGCGTTTACCTGAAAACCCAGAAAGGTTCGGTCTGTACGTGTCCGTCCTGGGCTCTGAGGGTCTGGACTCAGGGACTCACAGGTAAGGTTGTTAAGATGTTTGATACTTTACAAAACTGTTGTATCAATACAAGAATGATACCACACGTTTTTGTCATTGAAATCAAGAAATGTTGCATATTGGGTTCCGAGGACTTCTGTATTTGTTGCCATGGTATCTATGGTTTCCTATTCAAGTTTAAAGTTCTGGTATTATGACAACCCTACAGGTGGGACGTGGATGCCGGAGACAACACGGAGTGGTTACTGGGAGTTTTGTCGGACTCGGAGCCGAGGAAAGGGATCATTCAGACCGGACTGTGGACTCTGTGGTTCTGTCAGGCTGTGTTTAGGATTTCCTATCCTCTTGAAGCCTTAACGGTTCTCCCTGTGAAGACCAGTTTCAGGAGGATCAGAGTGGATCTGGACTGGGACGGAGGGACCCTGTCTTTTTCTGATCTGGATACTAACACACACATTTACACCTACACAGACACTTTCACCGAAAAACTGTTTCCATACTTTAACACCTGGAAAGGCCCGCCCATGACGATTTTACCATCGAGAATCTCTGTTACGACGAGTTGATTTAAAGCTCCTGTGGGGAGTTTTTATCTTGTAATCAACCCGACTATAATCCTGATACCTCTTTGTGACCTACAAAAGCAAACATGGCCGTCAGAGAGGACACGTGTTATTAATATATATTTATTTTATATGCCTGTCACGCCTGCCCCGTGTTTGTCAGCACCCGGTCGAAACATTCTTTTTTAAAAGGAGACTCATTGTGTGTTAAAGTTGGAGATTTAAAATAAAGAAGTTTAAGATTTGTTAGAATTTACCACCAGCACATGTACAGAATAGGATCTGCAAAGAGCTTAATCATCCCACGTTGTCCACAGGGGGCGCCAAAATCAACACAACGCAAAGTTTCTCACAGGAGCTTTAATATGTAACATTTATCTTGATGGAAAACCTTTGGTAGTTTAATTTCATTCTTTGGTCTAAATCTTGTGTATGGATATGGGACCGTCTCACCCAATAAACAAAGGAAAACAAGTATTTGTTGATGTTCAACAAAACATTCAGTTGTTGTAAATTTGCTCTAATATGTGGTTTCGATCAGCACAGTTCTTACCAAAATAATTGAAATCAGTAAACAAACCTGATAAATAATAGAAATAGAAAGTTTAAACACCACAGCATAAAGAGAGTCTGATCTGTTACAAGATAAAGTCCTGCATTAAAAACAAACACTTTGGTGACAATTTTATTATCTTGAATTTAAAGGCTTATGCGGGAAGCGACCCCCTGGGGGATCCTGACCCCCACTTTGGGATTAGAGTGATTGTTGCTTTGATGTGTAAATGTACTTAATGTTGTAGCTGGTATATGTGGAACTTTTTTGAATGAATTCATATTATGCTTACTTGTCAATTTGCACTCAAATATAAATAAAGATGGATTCATAAAAATCTATTTGTTAATTTTTCAATCAATGAAATCTGCAAAATACTGTAAATAATCAAATAAAATGAAAAAAAAAGAATTCATATAAATCGCAAAATACGTGGAAAGGAATATTTCTTCACATATTTCCACAATCCTAAAGAGAGAAATTAATTTAGTCACTGGTGAGTTTATGTCAAATCGACCGCAAGGGGCGCTACAGCAGCAAGGAGCGCAGAGAGCGGCGGAATAACGAGGACGAAGAAGAAACAGCGGAAGCGGAAATGATGTCCTTTTGTTTTGAAAGAGGGAAATTTAAATTTCGACGGCGTTACTCGGAAATAAACACAAAATCTCCCAAAAGGACACGAAAATGAGCAAAATCTGACATTTTTCACCTGCGAATGTAAAGTAGGTTTCTACAAACATTCATTAACACGTTCTGGTGTTTTAATTCAGATATTTTAAAACTGGACTGTTTTGTCCCGTAACGTTTGAACCTCGAAGCTTCTTCTCTTCAGGGACACAGTTTTGTCTTAACCGATGTTTAACTTGTTTATGAAGGTTTTTCACAGCTGTTAAGGAGAAAACAACATATTGATCGTTTTCTTCTGCTTGTTACTCATTTATTACATTGTTATATGCTTTTATTTTCACGAGTCTTCAGCTGGTTAAACTCTGTGTGTGTGTGTGTGTGTGTGTGTGTGTGTGTGTGCGCGTGCGTGTGTGCGCGCGTAGGTTCCCTTCACAAAATGAAGAACAAAGAGAGGACGTCGGTGGCCGGAGACAAAGAGGAGTGTGAGTGATTCACGAGATACATCTGACTCAGTTTTAAAGAGCAAAGACAGATGATTAAAGGACCAATGTGTAACTCTGACACCTAGTGTTTAAAATGGGCATTGCCGTCCATATTCAAAACAAAACATTGGAGAGAGATTTCAACCAGTGACAGTAGGCAGTTTAAAGGTACCCTACACAGCCTTTTAAGACGCCCCTCAGTTTGCCAGATATGAGAGCAGTTATCAGGGCAAACCAGCGTTGGTGGTTAAAAACATGACTGAAGATGTGTTGATTATTTTAACATTTCAGTTCTTATTGATCATTAAAATAACAGAGTTTGTATTGGACATTGTGTTTGCGTTGAATTTATAATCAGCGTTGTTGTTGTTTGCAGGTTGTGCTCTCTGCAGATGCAGTGACAACGACCCGGCCATGTTTGGAGAAAAAGTTGTGCTGAAAGAGCACAACCTCTGTGTTCACTACTTCTGTCTGGTAAATGTTTGTTTTTGTGTTCTTGTTGTCGTTGTATACTTAGAGACATTGTTTCTTTAAGACGCAGCACTTTGGGAATAGCTTTAATTTTAACTTGAAGCGCTGAGGTTCATTTCTGAAACATCATCTCTTAGAAAGCAGTCCTCTCTGGCTGGATGTCTGTGCTGTTAAGTCCTCAGTATGTTTTATAGTTTATATGTTTTTCAGCTGACGTCTTGTGGAGTTTACCAGCGAGGGGAGGACAATGAGGGCGTCTTCGGGTTCCTGGTGGAAGACATCAAACAGGAGGTCCGCCGCACAGCTCGACTGGTCAGACATGTTCTTTCTTAAATATGTTTGTATATACCAATGTAACTTTTGCTGCTTTGCTAAAGTGCTCATGATGGATTAAGTCGTGTCTTTGTAATATAGCAATAAGTGAGGTCTTTTACCTGCTTTTTGTAAAGTGTCTCGAGATAACACTTTATGAGTTGACGCTACACAAATAAAAATTGATTGATTGATTGATTTACGATCTCTGTACAGAATATTTGTACCCTGCCTTACTGTATGTGTGTAGTGTGTTTAATGTGTTATTCCCTTGTTGTTCAGACGTGCTGCTGCTGTAAGAAGAAGGGCGCGTGTGTCGGCTGTAACGTCAGGAGCTGCAGGAAAATGATCCACTTCCCCTGCGGCAGGAAAAAGAAGTTCATCTCACAGTTTACCAGTAACTTCCCGTGAGTTCTGATCACACTTAACCGATTAATTCAGTCAGTAAGAAGTGAGTGGCCTCTCTAGTTTAAAGCTTTAAAGTTTAAAATGATGCTGATTGACCTCTGAGAGTTCAGTATCACACACAGCAGCAGCATCATCGTTATGTTTCTGTCTCATTGTTCAGGACGTACTGTCCCGACCACAGTCCCACTCAGTCTGTGTGTGTGGCCTCAGACCTCAGTCTGCCTCAGTCCTGCTCCGTCTGTCTGGACACCATCGAGCCCGTCCTCTCCTACTCCATCCTCAAGTGTCCATCCTGCCACGCCAGCTGGTTCCACCGAGACTGTGTGCAGGTATCATTGATTATCTTCTGCTGCACATTAAAGGATCTCTTAGAGCTGCAACACTTCATCACTGACTAATGACTGAGAAATGATGTGTGTGTGTGTGTGTGTTTTCTTCAGCGTCAGGCCCACAGTGCCGGCCTCTTCTTCTTCAGATGCACTTTGTGTAACAACAAAGAGAACTTCCAGGAAGAGATGACCCGGATGGGAATCTACATCCCAGAGAGGTAACATCTTCATCGCTTTCTCACACTCATCGGTCCCTATCCCCGTAAAATACACAATATATAATAAAATTCAAGACAATGATTTACAGCGATTGTCCATAAACAAAATGACCTTTCGGAAGACGTAAAAGGATTTGAGTAACAAGACAAAAATCCCTTTTTTGTACTGATTTTTCTGTATCTGCAGAGATGCATCATGGGAGTTAGAGGCGAATGCATTTTCAGAGCTGCTGGAGGTTTACAGTCGCTGTGACGCTCTCACATGCCTCTGCAAAGGCGGACGCACACACTCCACCAAGACCGGGTAATTAACTCCTCTGGTTACGTTTGAATGTTGATACTTTCTGAGTTCCAACATTATTAAACATCTGATGTCCACGTTTACACATCAGGTCAAATGTTAAACTGTTAGCTGTAGAAACTTAGGCTAAAAGGAATTGAATTTAAGTCGTTCTGTCTCAGGTGGTTTGAGGTGATTCGCTGCCGGCTGTGTGGATCAGGGGGGACTCACAGGAAGTGTTCAGGGCTGAAGTTGGACACCAAAGACTGGGCCTGCAGTGACTGCACTCAGGCCACGGACGGGAAAGGTCTGAGTCTCTGATGGAACGACTGACACTAAACTCATACATATAAACATGGATAGATATAAAATAGAAACCTGACACCCTTTTTTAATTTACAAACCTTGTGCTTCTCTCCTGCAGCTTCCCTCGTCTCGTCTCCTCAGGGAGGTCAGGGGAGGAGTCTGCTGTCCAAACGACGCACATCCTCCATCAACTCCTCCATCAGCCGTAAGAGGTAAACAAACCAAACACACCTCTCCTCCATCAGCTGTGAGAGGTAAACAAACCAAACACACCTCTCCTCCATCAGCTGTGAGAGGTAAACAAACCAAACACACCTCTCCTCCATCAGCTGTGAGAGATAAACAAACCAAACACACCTCTCCTCCATCAGCTGTGAGAGATAAACAAACCAAACACACCTCTCCTCCATCAGCTGTGAGAGGTAAACAAACCAAACACACCTCTCCTCCATCAGCGGTGATGTTATTATTTAAAACATAATTCTATCTTCCATCTTTTTAAGGCCATCTCTACCTGTTGGAAGTGGATCACCTGAGGACCTCCTGCGGGCATTGGCCCCTCAGCTCAGTCCTGTCACCGTCCAGGTGGAGGTGGGCGGGGATCAGGCTCTAGCTGCAGGTATGGAGCTGGTGAGGAGGGCTGACTTTGACCCCACACACACTCTGTCCGTCAGGTGAGAGGAGGATCAACCAGAGTGTCATCACAACTGTGATAAACACACCATCCATGGTTCACCTTCATCTATTTGAAAAATGCAATCAACACCTTCTCTTCTACTCCTCCCTCCAGGTTCAAAGACAAGCAGCTGACTACACTTCCCAGCAGCCTCCAGGACAGCAATACAGCCAGGCAGTATTTCCTGAAGCTGCTGGTGCAGCAGATCCAGGACTCAGAGGTGTTTGAGGGTCCTGAGGGTTCCAGAAACCTGGCACTGGACTCTCAGGGTAGGTGGAATTTTAATGTTTAATTTTTTAAATGACAGATCCAAAGAGTTTAAGACTTGCTGCTGGAGAGTGGTTCAAATGGCAGCAGTGAATTAGGCCGTAAAGACTTCAACGTGATCGCAAATGCGTCCTCTCAAAATTGTTGTTTTTGTCCCTGACAGGCTCAGGTAGTTATTCTTAGAATGTGAGAACATTACAGAAGGATCCCTGCAGAGAGAGACCTTTTAGTTACAGAGGTAGATGATTTTTTAAAAACACAAACAGCTGTTGCATCACTCTAAAAACACACCACACTTTTTCCCTTGATGGTATTCTGCTTAACAAGTCTGTTTCTTTTATTGAGTGATTTCAAAGTTCTGAATCATACCATTTAATCCAAAACAACATTTCTGTAACACAAGCACGAAAAACGAACCAGTAGAGGAGCAACTCCTGTTTCCTCCTGTGAGGAGAAATAGCTGTTTTTGACAATGGGGTATGGTGTCTTTGAAAACATTGCTGTAAAGTGTGTGTGTGTGTGTGTGTGTGTGTGTGTGTGTGTGTGTGTGTGTGTGTGTGTGTGTGTGTGTGTGTGTGTGTGTGTGTGTGTGTGTGTGTGTGTGTGTGTGTGTGTGTGTGTGTGTGTGTGTGTGTGTGTGTGTGTGTGTGTGTGTGTGTGTGTGTGTGTGTGTGTGTGTGTGTGTGTGTGTGTAGCTCTGCGTGACGACCTCTACTTTGACATTGGCTGCCTGCTCGCCCTCTCTCTCATTCATGGTGGTCCTCCAGTTGGATTCTTCTCTCGTGCTCTATACCAATGTCTGTTCAACTACCCCCCCAACTGCCCGCTCACCGTCATGCACATGACCCCCGACACACACTTTACCCGCCAAGTCATCCGGGTGAGTCAAATAAAACTACACGTCTGTAGTTTTTACCACATGGACCCTGCAGACGGTAAATACAGACATACGTAAGTGTTCTGCTTGAAGGTCGAATGATTTGATTGGCTGGTTTCAGATGGCGGAGGCGGAGTCTTTAGACGAGCTGAAAGAGGTGATGGCGGAGAGCTGGGAGTATCTGGAGCTGGCCGGCTGCAACCGACCAATCAGCAGCCTGGAGCAGAGAGAGGCTCTGGTGGAGAATCTGGTCAGCTTCACTATGATCACCAGGATGCAGCTTCCACTGCAGAGGTACACACACACACACACACACACACACACACACACACACACACACACACACACACACACACACACACACACACACACACAGAGGGATTTTTCTTTGTAAGTGAATGTAAACTTTGATGTATTAACTGTCTTTTTTGTCTCCAGGTTTCGGGAAGGCCTGCAGACTTTGGGCGTCTTTGATCAGGTTTTTTTATAACTTTGTTTTTTCTCCCTTGTATTATAACTGAGGCTGTCAAACAATTCACATTTTTATCACATGTTAGAAATTAAATTATTTTGCATTAATTGCAGCATTAACTTCAGACCTTCATTAATCATGATTAACTCGTTAATGCTGACAGCCCTGATTATTAAGATTGATCTGACAGCACATCTTCAGACTGATGTTCTCAAAGTGTCACTTCCTTTAATCTCATCCAGGTGCAGCTCTTCCCGTCTGTGTTTTGTGGCGTTTTCTGTGGAGTGACGGTTCAGCTGACGGCTCAAACGCTCGCTCAGCTGTTCACCGTTAACTTCTCCCCCCAGGAGGAGAAACAGAACATGGAGACGCCCGTCGTCTCCTTCTGGAGACACTTCCTGCTCGAGTGTGAAGGTACGGACTCCTCACGCAGACTCGTCCTTTCCTCTCCTCTCCCGTCTTCTCGTTTCCTCCTTCCCTTTCCCCTCCTCAAATTTTTCATTTCTCTCCTCATTTGTGCCTTCCCTTCCTGTTTTCCTGTTTTTTGCTTCCTCCTCTTCTCCCCTCTTGTGCTTCCTTCTCTCCTCCCTTACTCCTCTTGATTTATTCTCTCCTCCCTTCTTTTCCTCCTCTTCTCCTCTCATCTTTCCTTCTCTCCTCTGTCCTTGTCTCCTCTTCTCCCTGTTTTCACCTTGTCTCTTGTTTTCCTCACCTCCTCTTCTCCTACCACCTTGATCCCTCCTCAGTTCTTTTCCTCCTCTTCTCTCTGTGTTTATTACCTTTTTCAATTGAATCGTCTTTTTCTCCTGTGTCAATCTTATCTCTGTTTGCTTGCATCCTCTCCTAAGTTGGGAGGAGCTCTATCTCCCTGCAGGACCTCCTTCGTTTCTGCACAGGAGAAGAGGAGCTCCCAGCAGCCGGCCTCCTCCCTTCTCCCTCCATCTCCTTCCTCCATGCCATCATCTCTTCCCCACCAGGAGCTGAGGACAACAAGACCCTTAAAGAGGGAGGAGACCGAGTAAAGGAGACCGTCAGAGCAGGGAGGGAGGTGTGGAGGGACGATGGGCTCTTCCCTCAGAGCAAGCCTGACTCCAAACACCTCCTCCTGCCCGTCGCCTCGTCCTACCAGGCCTTCAAGAGCTCCATGGAGCAGGGGGTCAGCCACCGCGTGCACCTCCTCCCCATGGAGACTTAGAGAAGGAGGAGGAGTCAGAGAATATGCCAAAAGTGCTTTATTATGCATGTAAAGAGAAACTCCCCGCTTTATCTGAAAGTCATTTTATTGGTCACCTTGCTTCTTGTTAAGCCCCGCCCCGTTAGTGATCTTTAAAGACATGTTTTTTGTTTTCACACAGACGTAAATATGCAAAGCTTCTTTGGTTGTAAACTGTGCGTTACTTTATTGGTATGTTTAAGTCTGAACAATTATGAAATTTTCAACATATTCTCTGCTGACTTTATCCCGTCTGTTTGTAAAGATGGCCAAAGCACGACCTGAAACACTGTAAGAACACCGCTTCAGGCGACATTTAAAGTCCTACATTTCTATTTTTCTCAAAACTTTGAAACCTTTCATTCACCACATGTCCTCTTTATTATGGTGCTGATATCATGTGGTTTTTATTGTATATAGTTTGACAGCTTTTGCTGATGCTGCAGTTTCTCATCTCGTCCCTCCTTCTTATTTCCTGTTTTATTGATTTCTTTTTTACAGAAAAAAGTCAAAGTTTGAAAAACATTTGTGTTATAGAAGCGATTGGATTGCCTGATTAATTAAAGAATAACATGTTTCATTAAAGGAGCAGTATTTAACTCTTACACCTAGTGTTTAAAATGGGTACTGCAGTCTAAATTCTAAACATTGTAGAGACAGATCACCTATAATATATAACCTTTTTCTTTAATAACCAATAATTACATTATTTTATCTGTTTTATCAGTCATATCTCTCTATCCTTTATTCTTCTTCAGTTACTCTGTTTTACATGGTGTCCTTTTTCTGATGTATTGGATGTCTTTCAAACTTTTATGTCCATGTACCTTTGTTATTATTTATCTGTTTGGTGTTTGCTGCATGTTTTGTGCTGAGTGACATTTACTCCTTATTTTTTTGTGGATTATAAAAGCAGAAACAAACCAGTTTGTCGTCCTGATTTCTTCTACTTTGAATGACTGAAAAACATATCTGTGACTGACTGCCACTCAGACACACCATGATGATTTATTGGTCGTTTAAATGAAGGCCATAATACGTTTCCTTGAATTAATTTTCCCTACCCCTGACATTAGAGGGCAATATTTAACCTTTTGCTCCTTAACATTACGTGACGGCTTCAGCTTCTGACTGCATAGTTTTATTTTATTTGCAGGGTTTTAGATCGCCTTCACTCTGAGTGAAAAAATCTTCTGCTCTGCCCCTGTCGGTTATGTTGTTTTGCACAATTTGTGTTTTTATATTTGTGTAAAATATTTGAAATACTTCTATACTTTGGTAAATGTCGTGGCGACATGCACGTGTTTGATTTATCGGAAAAGCGTCAGAGTGACACGTCTTCACTCCTTTTCCTCCTCTTTGACCGGTCGGCTGACGTCGAGCTGCTGCCACGTCATCGGACGCTCCGTCACCACCAACAACATCAAACATGGCGGCGTCCGTCCGGGAGAAGCAGACGGGTTAGTCAAACTGATTGTTGTCTTCTTTAACGGTTAATTGTGGCGGTAGACGGCAGAGTTTACGGGATGTTTGGACGTTAAACCTTCCTGACTTTCACGGAGGAGATTTATTCAGAGCTGTCACATCTTTAACCAGCTAACTAACCGATCTTCATCTCTAACTCGTTCAGCTGATTAACAGACGTTTCAGTTTCACTTTTTGTCACAGAAACTCTTCATACTCCTCTTCTGCTTTATAACTAATGATCCTGACTGATTAATAACCAGTTAACTAAAGACTGAACCAACCGCTTAGCTTGTGAGCTAACGCTGCTGCTAGCACTGTTAGCTACATGAAGCTTACCTGCTGCAACCAGAAATCATTTATCAGCTCAGAGTTTGAGTATTTTTAAGAAATATTGGTGTTTTATACCTCCAGTATATCGTATATTGAGACTGAGATTAAACGATAGGGATGTAATGATACACTCAACTCAATACGATACCCATCACGATACAGGGTTCACGATATGATGAGGCAGAGGCGTGGTCAGGGGCGTGGTCAGGGGCGTGGTCAGCGGCGGCTTTCCCACCTCATTCCAGGTGCCAACCCAAAAAATCCTAGCCCTTTTCAGACCGCCGCTTCAAGGCACCATATATACGCCCCTGTGACGTTCTGCCTTCAATCTGAATGTCATAGAGGCGTAGTGAGGGGACGCAGTGATCCCCCTCTGTCCCGTCTTCAGAGGTAGTACCAGAGGAGAGGCGGAGCCAGTGGGGAGCACAGTGCTGTGTGTGCATGTCTGACTGTGTGTGTATGTGAAGCTCTTGCTCTGCAGTGCTCTCTTACGCTTCCCCAACGCCATAACGCAATGTGAATTCCCAGCCGTTGCGACTCTGTAGCGGAATTGCACTCTGAAAAAGGCTTACAATTGGCCGTTTGCCTTGTCAGAGGCGGGACTTAACTTAGAATAAACCATCACTTTTTAATCTGCCTGGCCCTTTTGATATTAAGTTTTGAATTATTTAATAAAAGGTCATTATATGCTTTTATTTTGTAATTAGATAAAAAAGTACATGTTGCTGTGTGTGAACAGTTTGTGTGTGTTTTCTCCTGCAGTCGCTCTGAAGCGCATGTTGAACTTTAACGCTCCTCCTCTGAAGAACACAACAGCCGAGCCAGTATGGAAGGTAAAACAAGCACACACACACACACACACACACACACACACACTTATTTTATCTCCTAACTGATCTGTGTGTGTCTGTATTTTGTGTGTGTGTGCTCAGGTGTTGATATACGACAGGTTCGGCCAGGACATCATCTCCCCGCTGCTGTCCGTCAAAGAGCTGAGAGACATGGGCATCACCCTGCACCTGTAAGAGACTCACACACACACGATTCAAACTACGATGTGCAAAAGTCAAAACGTTCCTGATCCACATAAAGTATTAAACGTTACAGGACGAGAAGATGATCCAGCCTGTGGTTGCCTGATTAATAACAGCCACGAAGATGAGACTGTTTTTATCATGTGTGCAGCTACAAAACAACAACAATGAATTATAAAGCGACATTAAGGCCCCGTGTCCACCTAGCGTTTTTTCCTGTACACATCCTCCTCGCTCCGTGTTTGATCGGGAATTAAACGATCTGAAATATAAAAACATGCAGTAAAAAGTAACGGAGCAGTGTCGCTCATACAGCTGCCCTTGTCAACAGACTGTTGTCATGGAGACAGCACGGAGGTGCAGCGCTTTTCTTCTCAGCGCACAAACACTTCATGCAAGCACTTCAGAGTGCACAGCCAATGCTTTACTGCCCGGAGAAACGCCAGGTGGACACAATGCATGTAGAGCGAGGAGAGAAATTAAACAACTTGTTTAAACCACTTGCAATTCTGGTGACGACGTTTGAATGTTTAGTGGACTAAACGCCCACATCACTAGCAGCTACAAATTACATTTATTTTGCAAATGATAGAAAATGACCATGTGAGAGCTCCGAGTTGCTCTCCAGAAGTTCGTTTCTTTTTGATAATAGTATTTCCTCAGAGTTTAGAGTGTGTGTGTGTGTGTGTGTGTGTCAGTCTGCTTCACTCAGACAGAGATCCTATCCCCGACGTTCCTGCCATCTACTTCGTCATGCCCACAGAGGAGAACATAGACAGGATATGTCAGGTACACACACACACACACACACACACACACTTTGAGAGTAAGCAGTTTAAATGCTCTTCTGTTGTGACCTGTAATGAAAACGTGTGTGTGTGTGTGTGTGTAGGACCTGAGGAACCAGCTGTACGAGTCATACTTTCTGAACTTCATCTCTGCAATCAGTCGGAGTAAACTGGAGGACATCGCCAGCGCCGCCCTGGCTGCTAACGCCGTCACTCAAGTCACCAAGGTTACCATGGTTGCTCTTTGATTCAGCCTCACTTAATGCATCAAATGATTCTGTATATAAAGTGAATATTATGGGGGCGCAGCGGAGCTCCAAGCGGGAAGTTTTGACTTCTATCTGAGTCTTTTTATAATTAATTAAATAAGTGTTTTGTGATAGAATATTTTACTGTTTGTCTTCTGGTCCAGAAGCTGGTACTTAACATCCTGATGAGTGTGTGTATTGCTGTTGTTGACCCCACGCTCCGTGTGTTTGTGTGTTTCAGGTTTATGATCAGTACCTCAACTTCATCACTCTGGAGGACGACATGTTCGTGCTCTGCCATCAGAACAAGGAGCTCATCTCGTACCACGGTAACACACACACACACACACACACACACACACACACACACACACACACACACACACACACACACACACACAGAGAGACACACAGGCAGGGGCGGCTGTGGCTCAGTGGTAGAGTCGGTCGTCTCTCAACTGGAAGGTCGGGGGATTATCTGGATATTTTTATGGGCTGCACACATTCAAACAGTTTTAGACAGCTTCAAATAATCTGAATACAAATGCTGTGTGTTTCTGTGCAGCCATCAACAGAGCAGACATCCAGGACACAGACATGGAGGCCATCATGGACACCATCGTCGACTCGCTCTTCTGTTTCTTTGTCACGCTCGGTGAGTCTGTGTGTCGGTTTGACTGACCTGAAAGTGTGTGTGTGAATATTTGGTCAGTTAATCAACAGATTGAAGAACGAGGACGCTGCTTCAGGTCAGGATCCTCTGATAGGCTGGATGAGTTAAAGGTGGTCCCTCAGTGTAGTTCTGTTTCTGTCCACTAGATGGAAACCTCCGTTTAGATCTTTGAAATGATCAGTCAGAGTGAGAATCAGGATCAGAGGGATGTTCTCATAGTCGCCAACAGACCGCGTCCTTCAGCTTGATGTCGTCTCCTCACATATTCCCACGGCTTCTTTTCCCTGAGACTTTATTCAAGTGTGTTTTGTTGCTGTTTCTGTTGCTCAGGTGCAGTGCCGATCATTCGCTGTCCCCGTGGAAACGCAGCAGAGATGGTCGCCGGGGTGAGTTCACACTCTCATGAATGACTTTATTGTTCTCCTCAGTAGGTGAAGTTTTAACATCTGATTTGATGTTTCTGTTTGTGTGTTAAGAAACTTGATAAGAAGCTCCGAGAGAACCTGCGGGACGCCAGAAACAGCCTCTTCACTGGAGACAACATGGCTGCCGGACAGTTCAGGTAAACCACACGCTGAAAGTAAAGTAAACTACACTTCCCACAATGCTGTGCTGTATGTGCAGCAGCTTTAATGTGGGCTCTGTTTGTTTTCTCTTCAGTTTTCAGAGGCCTCTGTTTGTTCTGGCTGATCGTAACGTGGACCTGGCCACGCCCCTTCACCACACCTGGACCTATCAGGCGCTGATCCACGATGTGCTGGTGAGCCGTCACAAACTCTTACTGCATTACTGCACTCTACTGAAGGCTTTAAGATCATCTCACACCTGTAAAGTTTGGTGTTAAAAGGCCGTGAGGTGTTTGCTTAAACATAGAGTAGCAAACGATGACGAGCTCAGAGCGTCTTTAAAGACTTTAACCTTCAAATCAAACAAAACGTGCGTGCGTCTGTGCGTCTGTGCGTCTGTGTGTCTGTGTGTCTGTGTGTCTGTGTGTCTGTGTGTCTGTGTGTCTCAGGGATCCCCAAAGGCACATACACACACATTATTTCATGCAGAGCCAGAGAGCTGTCAGCTGCTGAGGTTAATACTGACAGCACAGGAATGTGGAGTTACACCGATGTGTTACATAACACACACACACACACACACACTAACTTTCCTTCAGCAGGGAACAAATCAGCCGTTGTGTTCAGATAACTCTGCAGCCTGACTCATGATGGAAAACATATTTAAATCTTCCTGAACAAATAAAAATTGATTTAAAAATTGTAGCCCTTCTGACTTTTCACGAGCTGCTTCAACCGAACGCAGAGCGTCTTCCATCAGAACTACGACGCTGACAGGTCCTCTCTGGTTCTGCGTTAGTCTAACAGAGTGAAGCTTCCCTCTCTTTCCAGATGGTCTTTGTCTGAGCACAGATATCAGCTACAGAGAGAACTTTAACCCGACATGATAGCTTTGTGTTCATCCTGAGTATTAATCCCTGACAGCTGATTGTTCAACGTGTCAAACAGCTTCATGAGATTCTGAATGTTTCCTCTCCCGATACAAAGAGAAGGGAAGTGTGTCTGTGGAGTTCAGGGAGTCTGAGTTTATCTGACAACCTCACTTTGTAATCTCAAGGCCCTTCAACACGAGAGCTGTCGGCCTTCATCATTTCGGTCCCTATCAATTATCATCTTTTTTTTTTTTTTTTTACCAGAATCCCACTGTGACCTCACAAGGAGAGCACATTTGAAACTGAGCATTTTCCTCTGTGTTGTAAGACTTATGCAGACCACACACTTGCGTACGTGCATGCTGCAAGAAAGCCACACATTGGATCCAAACAAGACTGCAGCCTCTGCACATGGGGGGTGCGAGAACTAAGCACCAGGCCACCGGTGCCCCTCTATCATTGACAACCTTCACAGAACTGTGATGTACCGGGGTACGAGTCCATAAGATGACGCTTTAAATGTGTCCCATTTGTTTTGGAAACAGCTGATATACTCTGTCTCCATTTTTAGACTTTCTTTAGATTTACGTCTTTTGAAAAAATGCCCTGCAGCTTCTCCCAAATCCACAATCCTTGATCCAGAATCCAGACCCTTGATGGCTTTTGTAAATGAGATCTGCTTCCTGTCAGCTCCCGTCAGGATTCATGTTGTCAGGATTCACTGATGGAAATTGAGACGCACACACTGAAGGTAGACTGAAGGTAAATGTCTTTGGGTTGTCTCGGTGGTTTCACGCTCGATTCAGTCAATTTCAAAAGACTCAAATGGTTGAATTAGATTATATGACACAAGAAAAATTTAAGAGAGGAAATGAAGCCAGCCGTGACTTAATGAAGAGTTACTCATGGGTACTGACGCCAGAGAGACTGTAAAAAAACAAACAACCAGTGAAGCTGCTGCTGTGAACTCAAAACAACAAAGACCATGAGAAATCTTATATGTGTGTTTGTGTGTGCTTCTTCAGGACTTCCATGAGATGGGTGGAGGAGGGCATGGGGGCTGCGCCATCTCCTGCCGGTGCCAGACAAAGAAGAAGAACAGGAACGACCTGACCGCTGCCGACAAGTTCTGGCAGAACACAAGGGCAGGTCAGAGTCTTTACCCTCGGCTTTGAATGTTTATAAAATGGTAGTTTTCAAAGCCGGGAGTCATACTTGAAACGAGACGCTGCAGTCGTCTGTTGTTGTTGTGTTGTTGAGGGGAAATAAGAGACTACGTGGTCCTTTTGCGGCCCTTCCCCGTGGAAAAGCAAACTGGTTCTAAGACAGTTTGCTATGGAGCGTTCTAATTCATAACTGTGTGATCCTGCTGTGGTCGACAAAATCTTTTAAGTTTACAAAGCTGTGACTTCATTTGTTATTTAGAAATCAGAATCTGTGAAAAAAGAACAGGGACGCTGGTTAGGCTCCGTCAGCAGAGCGAATAAAGAAGAAGCGCCAACGTTTATTTTTCAAAAGGTAAATAAATCAAAGGTGTGTGTGTGTTTATGTGTGTTTCAGTCCGTTCCCAGAGGTGAGAGTGGTCCAGGAGGAGTTGGACACTTACCGAGCGCAGGAGGACGAGGTCAAACGCCTGAAGAGCATCATGGTGACACAACAACGGTAACGAACATTGCCAACATGTCTGTGCAGGTTAGACAATCAATCAATCAACCGTCTCATGCCTCGAGACGATCATGTTGATTCTACAGCTGCGTCATATTTGTGTCTCAATCTGTGAATGGACGCTATCGGAGCGGACGCGTGATGCTCACATATCTGGTAGAAGTTCTGGTTAGCCCTGCCACCACTGGAGGGAGCGAGATGGCCCCGTCCACTCTTGAGCGCATAATGACGGCGTTTGTTGTGAGAGTAAAATTCAAGGGGAACCAACAGACTTTACAAACCTGAGAAAATCCTTTTTTTTTGCAGCTTTGGGGCTGCAGGTCTAAATGAAGCGGCTGCACTCGGTCAGAAGTGAGGGAGGGGTCAGGGGAGGGGGATTGTATTGTCTTGAACATTCAGTGAACCTCGTCAGGACGGTAAGAGTTCATGATTGTTTGGTGTTTGTGTGTCTGCAGGGTTTAGAGGCGAGGACGAAGGAGCCATCAGCATGCTGTCAGACAACACGCTCTGCTGTCAGGTACCAAACATCGTCTCTAAAGCGCAAACATCAATCTTTATATTAGTAAATATAGATTTATGAATGTGTTGTTATGTAAAGATGTGATTGTTGTCTTCACTTCACGAAGAGGAGGGCGAGTGCTTTCCTCTGTTGACTTGTTTTGTGTTCCTCTGTGTGCTGCAGCTCTCTGCCCGAGCTGCTGGAGAAGAAACGACTGATCGACCTGCCACCAACGTGCACAGCCGTCCTCGACCACATCAAGGTACAACACACACACACACACACACTGACACACTAACAGACACTCACACTAACAGACACTCACACACACACACACACACAAACAGACTTGTACATGGGATCTAAACGTTTCTAAATGTTGACATCTTGTTGTTTGTGTTTGTATCCTCAGAGTCGTAACTGGACGTTTACTTTGAGTTTGAAGAGAAACTGATGAGCAAGTCGACCTTAGACAAATCTATACTGGACATCATCAGTGACCAGACGTACACACACATACACACACACACACACACACACACACACACACACACACTTACAGGTCAGTCAAACTAACATGTCTTCATGTTTGTGTTTATCAGCCGGGTCCCCTGAAGACAAAATGAGACTTTTCCTCATCTACTACATCGCAGCTCAGCAGGTTCCTTCAGAGGTAACACACACACACACCACACACACACACACACACACACACACACACACACACACACACACCGTGTCTTTAAAAGCCTAACTCTGAAAATTGGAGGCCGTGCGTCCATCACTTAAATCTTCACTTCTGTGACATCATGTACGCTCAACAGTTCCTCAAAGCTTGCTGGCGTCACGCCTGACCGATCTTTTCAAACAAATCTCTAGACGGGTTGAAGCTTCAGCAGGTTCCTTCAGAGGTAACACACACACACACACACACACACACACACACACACACACACACACACACACACACACCGTGTCTTTAAAGAGCCTAACTCTGAAAACATTGGAGGCCGTGCGTCCATCACTTAAATCTTCACTTCTGTGACATCATGTACGCTTCAACAGTTCCCTCAAAGCTTGCTGGCGTCACGCCTGACCAGATCTTTTCAAAACAATCTCTAGACGGTTGAAGCTTGAACTGAGAGGACAGCGTTCCCGTGTGTCATACTGAAAAGAATCGCGTTAGTGTTTCTATTGTGCAGCCCAAACAATGATTCCTTTCACAGCAGGCTCAGTAAGTGTAACTAATAACATCCATAAGTGAAGGCTCTTTCAGAACACACAGATCCTCTTCTCATGCCCAAATAGTTTCCCCGTTAAAGAACATGTTTTCACTTCACTCTGCATCTCCAAACAGTCAGAAACCTGACCTTGTTTCCAAACCGGCGCTCTGATGGACGAGGACGGCTGCTTCAGATCTGTGTTATTGGATCTGTCATCATCTTTCATTATGAGTCACACAACCACCGCTGTACTGGCTCTACCGTAAACCGTCACCGTCACCACTTGGCTCTCATGTCTCAATTGTTCCGTGAAATTAGATTTACCTCGGTTACGGAGAGATCTTCACCGCTCAACCGAGTGCGCAGCAAGAACACAAACAACGCGCCATGCACACAGAGCCGGTCACTCCAGTAACAGCAGGTCTCTACATCATAGGAGCCAAAGGAAGGAAGCAGAGCTGGTTTTATCTGGTGCATGGACTTAGGGCGCACTCACGCTAGGCTGGGTTGCTCCGTACTGATAGCCTGACTGACCGGCCTGAGCACGGTTACCTCTTGTCCACATGCATGGCTTTACGTGATCATGAAGCGTGCTTAAAGGAAGAAAGTGTGACTTTTTGATCCAGTAGATGTCGCCCTTTGAGCATCAGCATGAAACCAAAACAAACTGCTGTTTGGCCACGCCTCCTCCATACTGAAGCCTCCGCTCTCCTCCAGAGACACACCTCCAACCCCTCTCCACTCACGTTCACACGAAGGAGTTGTGAATTAGAATGCATCATAATTAAACACCATTAAGCTCAAGCGGCAGGCAAACTTGTCCTTGTCTCGAGCTGCAATCTCCTGTGTCCTGCTTTGTTGTGTTAGCATGCTAATGTTAGCGCTCTTTAGTTAGCTCGTAGCTTCACATTGCATGTAAACTAACACATGATGGCCGTGATCTAAAAACTCTTACGCACATCCAAATAATTAGTGAGTATGTTCTTCTTCTCTCTAGTTCTTGATTAAAACAGCTTTTATACACAAGGGGAGGAGCCGGCCATCCCATCCATGTAAACACGGCTCTCACAACAACACAGCCAGCGGGACTCGAGCTTCTCACTCGTTGTAGACAGTCATGATTCAGATACACAGGATAGACTTGATTTATGATATATTTATGTATCATAACACATTCTTCACACATTCTTCCTTTAAGTTTACAAGATAGACGGACTGAAAAATAGAAAAGGGACTCATGGTCGAGTTGTTTGACATTTCTGCTTGAAAAAGGATCAAACAATAAAATATCAAAAATACATTTTCAGTGGATGGCTTGATTTGTTTCTTGCATTAAAACAGATTAGTCTTTTTTTTCCAAGTCTCTGGAGCTAGTAGAGTTAAAGTGAGGTTTGCCGTTAGGAGGAGGTGAATGATGTATCTTTGAATGTGGGTGCTGGTCTGTATTAACAGCAGAGATGATTCTGTGACCTGAGGTTGTCGTGGTTCGGTTTGTTGTCCCGCTGAGGTTCACTTCCTTTCAAAGAAACCTGAAAACCCTGAAGAAGAAAAACTGTGACTGAAGGGGGAACTCTGTGTGATCCTGCTGTGGTTGAGTGCTTACTTCAGGACTGAAACTGGATCAGTGTGGAGAGATGACGACCTGTGGGGACAGAGACATTAAAGATGAGACAATGCTCCTTATTCTCCTCTGTGGTGAAGACAACGGGCGCTGAAACTCAAAGACCTCTAGATCGTCCCGGAGAACATCACATCGTGTTGTTTTCTCCACAACGGGATGCAGTGACTGTGTTTAAGCTTGTACAGGACCTTCATTTAAAATGTCTGCTTTTGAACAAATTCAGCCAAACAAAAGTTCTTTTTTGCATCTTTCATGACTTTCCTATTTCCTTCCATCATCCCAGCCAAGCGTCCTCCCCACCGCTCAAACCAGAACAGCTCCGGGGACGGGGGATGCTTAATTCACCAACTGTGGATTGGCGCCTGATAAAAACTTCTTCTACAGATTGTTTTAAATGAGCTGTGCCTCCAGGTCTGCAGAAGCCGCATTCTACCGATCAATAGCTTAGCTTTGTCGGGCTTCACGAGAAGCATCTTCTTGGCTCTGAATGTCCATAATTTCACCGTGAGCTAATGGTAGAACAAAGATGGCCGAATCAAGGAGCCAAGCGAGCACAGAGAGCTGGTTAGAGCGGCTGTAGCAGGAACACAGCTGGAGGAGGTTTAGTTTGGCAGATGACCGACTCATCATTCATGAAACGACAGAGACAGTTGAGTTCATGTTTGAAAGGTTCTCTGTCTTTCCGTTCATTAGTAAACTATAACAACAGGTCAGCAGGTTTATAAACTCCACAAACTACAAATAATGTTCGAGAAGTTAACACCAGAAAAGTTTGGAGAACTTTCTGCTGTGCCGACATATTGGCTAGCATAGTGGCTCGCTCGGTGTCTGAGTCCAGGCCTCCTGCTGCTGCTGCTGCAGGCGGAGAGGCGGCTTTAACACCTGCTAAACTAATTATAACATCTGTCTCTATTACTCAGTCACTGATCGTTAAACATCAGCGAAACAGAGCGAGGGCCAAGATCAGAGAGACGGACACAGATCTCTTCATCGATACAGCTTCTTAACTCCTCCAATGGAAACACTTAGTGAGGTTTCTGTTATCAGGCGTCTCAGGACAGAGAGGTCCAAAGAGTTTCTAATTCAGACAACAACATTTTATAACATCCGCCATTCACACCAACCCACATAAAGGACTACAAACGCTGAAGTATACACGTTGGGCCAGTAGTCGGCGGTTTGACTTTGTCATAAAATAACACGTGCGCATGCACACATACTCGTCCTTCCACAGGGCAGTGAGGTGTGAACATACAGTGAGCATATGTGAAAAGTTTCCTTTTACTGATTCACTGCTGCCAGTTTAAACGACAACAGAGACAGAGCTGTTTTGCGGCATTGTCGTGTAAACGAACAGCCGAAACACAACAGGAGGTTACCGTTTTCTGCTGAAATGGCTGTCGTGGTTGACGCTGTGAGGCGTTCACAGTCAGCTCTGTGATTCTCAGCGTCTCTTCCCATTTACAACTCGTCCTCAGCTGATGGATGATGTGATAGTTTCTCTTCTGCTTTTATCCTCATTTCATCCACCTGAATGATGGATCACCCTCCATCACCACCCACCGTCTCTCTCTCTCTCTCTCTCTCTCTCTCTCTCTTTCTCTCTCTCTCTGTCTCTTCCTGTCATCCATAGGCGCTCCTCTCCCTCTGAACGGCTCCCGGCCTCCTGTCTCTCTCTAGTTCCTCTCCCACCTTTGATCTCCCTCCCCCTCACAGACCCCTCGCTCACCCCTTTCTCCCCCCTAAATCTGCTTCAGAGTCTCCAGAGAGCTGACCGATGTGGTGGGATTTCACTCTGACAAAAACAATCTTTCTCACAGACACACTTTCATGGGGCTCAGAAGTTGTGTAATCTTTCAGTGTCTCCTGCTGAGCTGGAGCTCAGGAGCTCACTGAAGAGGAGACATTACGCCTTACCTCACCGTCACTAGCTGTAGTTAGGAAACATGGTGGAACATTTTCATCCTGCAGAGAAAAATCTGTGATGTTTCCACAAAACGTTTTACCTGACAGAGAAAAATAAATCTGAGAGAGGAGGGAGAGTCCACTCAAAGATTTTTAAAGGCAGAAGCTCCAAAAACTGCAGTTCCTCCAGTGTCCACTAGAGGCTATCTCCTGCACTGAGTCAGTCCCCATTGTTAGGGGGCGTGGCCACTTTGAGTGACAGGTGGGAGCTACTAGCTGTCAGCTAGGTGTCACCTCAGCTGATTCAGTCCCTGACCTTTAACCTCTGGGCCGTGTTTGTGCTGCTGGAGCCTTTTGGAGATCTGTCTCTCTGTGAGCTTTATTGGACTAACAGACCATCCAACAAGTCTGAGTTCTACTTTTTACAACCAGTCACATTAGAGCTTTATTGTATTTACATGTTAGCAACGATTAGCAGCTAACTGTGACTGTAGGAACCAGACCTGGACTGTTAGCTCGTTCTCTGTTTGTCATTGGTTGTTTTATTTGTGGCAGCTCATGGATTTGCAGGAGCTCATAGACTTCAGATTGTTGTTGGGTTTTCCAGGAAGGGAGACGACAGGAGCTACACCCACTTATCTGACGATCATCACTTTTAGAAAACCAACCTGTAGACATCCCTAATTAACAAATTCTAGAAGGACTGATGTTTATGTGTTTCCTGTGTGTGTTTCAGTTGGACTTGGAGCAGTATAAGACGGCTCTGATGGACGCCAACTGTGACCTTTCACCTCTGAACTACATCAAGCAATGGAAGTACGTCTGTTGCTGCAGTTTCCTTCATCCTGAGAGTTGTGATAATCTGACTGAGGGAGGGTCATTCAGCCTGTTTGTCAGAAATTCCGGTCGTGATCTTTCTGTCTTTTTTTCAGGGCGTTTGCAAAGATGGCTGCAGCCCCGGCAAACTACGGCAACAGTGGAGTCAAACCGATGGGGTGTGTGAGCATCACTATATTCACCTCTAACTGTTTGATTTTAAATTAGAACAACTTAAAAATCCAAACTCAAATAATACGTTTGATGTGTTGATACTCCTTTTTATAAATTGTTTCAAAACGAAACAATCTGTCATTTTTTTATGCTGGACGGTATCAGAACGTGCCAAAGCTTTAAAAAACTTTAAAAAACTTCAGATCTTCAGTCATATTTTTAACTTAGAGAGAGAGAGAGAGAGAGAGAGCGTTGAATTTGCAGAAATATGTCGGCAACATTTTGGTACCGTATCACTGCCAACGTACGTGTGCAATTAATTCAGCGAGCAAAAGATTCTCAGCAATTTTTGGGCATTAAACAAGAAATTACCCAATTTTGGAGGACTTGTCTTTAAGTTGCTGTGACATTAGGATGTAGTCCTCATCGCAGTGACACTGGGTTTCAAACCGTCCTCAGATCTTTGTTGCATGTAGTCATCCACTCTCTCGAGTTTAAATTCTTGTTTCATGATAACCCGAGTGAAGTGAGGACTTTGAGAAACCCAAAGAAAGCAGAACAGTGAGGAAGAGGTATGAGCTGCTGCACGGCTCATGTTTTGATGATTTTTGTCTTTTCATCTGAGAATTGTGTGATTCATATTTAAAAAAAAAAAAAACTGCTTAAAAGAGCTGGAAAATATGACCTCTCGTCTCGTCTTGTCCTCTCCTCTCCTCTCCTCTCCTCTCCTCTCCTCTCCTCTCCTCTCCTCTCCTGTCCTGTCCTCTCTTCTCCTCTCCTCTCCTCTCCTCTCTTCTCCTCTCCTCCTCTCCTCTCCTGTCCTCTCCTGTCCTCTCCTCTCTTCTCCTCTCCTCAGGTTGTTTTCCAGAGTGATGAACACAGGCTCCCAGTTTGTGATGGAGGGAGTGAAGAACCTGGTGATCAAACAGCATGTGAGTGAAACTCCTTCAAACATCCTTTAAACCCAACAGACCTGTCCTGGTTACACCTAGTTATCATCGAGGATTGGCCCAGACATTACAGCTTTAAACACAAGTCACCACAAGGAGACACGAGCTGAACACAACTCCATTAAAAATGACCTGAAGTTATTCCTTCATCAGAAAACTGCAAAATCTGCTAAATCACTTCAAACACCAACTCTGGCCCTCCCTCAACATGACGACACATTCCTCTGCCCTCTGCACGCTTTATTTAACCTGCATCTCCACCACCTGGTCTGCCAGGAGGTTAAATTAAGCGCTCCTGATGTGACAGACTGCAGCGACGATGATGATGATGATGACAGGCAGCAGGATGATGGTGAAGAGGTGCTTCAGGGTGAAACTGGCATCAACATGGAGTCATTAATAATCCTGCAGTCTGGTTTCTTCATACAGGAGCTGAAGTGAGAATATCACAAACTCTCTGAGGAGACGAGGACAAAAATGTACACTTTTCTTCCACGCTCACGTCTCCTGTTTTGGAAAAATCTCTTCACCACAGTTTGAGGATCAAATCCAGAAATAAGAAAACTGAAACAGAGATTCCGATGGAGCCTTCACTGATGAAATTGTCGCTGTTATGAACTCTTACACCTTAGGGCTAAAGTGTGAATCACGATTTTGCTCACACATTGACATGATTGATCTCTTTGTGGCACAGCGTGACGTTAGCTGTCCAGTGGTGAAGCTCTGAGCTCGAAGGAAACGTCTTGAGGTTAACACCTCGATGTAATCCTGGCATGTGGGGTCATCTCCTCCAAAGGTGTCGGGACTCAGAGAGAGAGAAAGATGGGGAGGAGCTCAGACATCGGGAAGGAGCTTAAAGAAGAGGAGCTCCTCCATGTTTGAAGATGGAGTCATTATAGGAGGGAACACAGATATGGCTGCCTCTAAGGAGTGTGTCCAATAAGGAGACCCTGAGGTAGACTCAGAACACTCGGCAAAGATCCTATACGTGGTCTGGACTGACATCACCTCAGGATTACCCCAGAGAGGCTCTAAAACCTCACCTGGTAGAGCGACATGTCGACTCTTGTTCAGCCTTCTCTTCGGTAAACCTTCTCCACAACAGGAGCTCAACATGGATGGAGGGATAATTCATCCTTCTCCTTGTGTCATGAGAGGAAAAATTCACTGAGAATAAAAAGTGTTCAGATTTGTCTTGCTGCTGTGTTTTAAAGCTGCTTCTTCTCTTCCAGAACCTTCCGGTCACTCGGATCCTGGACAACCTGATGGAGATGAAGTCTCATCCTGTGAGTGTGTCATTTTATTATCATCATTTCTCTTTTATTTTTGAACAATCGTTTCAAAAATGTGATCAGCTTTTAGTTGACTGTAAAGGTGGAGTCGGTAGAATTGTTTGTAAACACAACATTCAAACTGGGCCCCTCCTCCTGGGCTCATCGTCCCCAGAAGCTCACCCTCACTGCAGGACGTACTCCTGGACTTCATGTTTATGGAAGGCCGCATCATGTCCACGTTGTGTTCCCGTGCAACATTGTGCTCGTGCATGAGGTACCGAACTGTGCCAAAGCACACCATACTTGAGCTCAGGACTGTAGTCGAACCATCTGGACTTTCAAACGTGCTGGAGCACCCTATGGGTTGCCTAGAGAGAGTGAGCCCTGAAATAAGGAGGAACGTCCTTAAAGAGCGGCTCACTATAACAAACAGGAGGAGAAGAGCTTTATTCAGGGACTATTTCTGGCAGCGGATGAATACTGTCAGAGGAGGGAAACTGTTCACCCTGTTTATGAAGCTAAAGTGGCTTTTTATGACACACTGCAGTGCACTCTGGGAAATCACATGAACTCCATATTAACTTCTGTGTGTGTGTGTGAGAGATTATATAACACACACACACAGGTTGACTCTTCTGAACTGTTTAACACACACACACACACACCGTGTGCATCTTTCTCAGCGTCTGGAGTTTCAGACGACAAACAAAGATCCTGTTGTTGGTAGTCTGGGGGGGGACTAGGGAGAGGATGAAAGAAACGGAGAACATTCACATTCTCCCTGTATCTGATCTGTGTGTGTGTGTGTGTGTGTGTGTGTGTGTGTGTGTGTGTGTGTGTGTGTGTGTGTGTGTGTGTGTGTGTGTGTGTGTGTGTGTGTGTGTGTGTGTGTGTGTGTGTGTGTGTGTGTGTGTGTGTGTGTGTGTGTGTGTGTGTGTGTGTGTGTGTGTGTGTGTGTGTGTGTGTGTGTGTGACAGAAACAGATCTGAGATGATGTACAGATATGAAGATGGACTTTTAAATAATTTAGGTTTGAATGATTTAAGATTTGATGATTGGTCGATTTGAGCTTTTGGAAAGGTGTCGGTAGATGAGCGTGATGTTTCAACTCCTCGTTGTGATTCTCTTCTTCTCTCCTCCAGGAAACAGACGACTATCGATACTTTGACCCAAAGATGCTGCGAGGCAGTGAGAGGTATCACTCCCACACATATTTCTAATCCATTTTAAGAGTTCAGGCTGATCATCTCCCGACTAACTCATCCTCCTCCTCTTCCTCAGCTCCATTCCCAGGAACAAGAACCCGTTTCAGGAGGTGAGCTCAGTTTCTCTGGACTAATGCTTGATGGATGAGTTTTTCCAAGAACTAACAGAGAGACAGGAAATGCACGTCACAGACTCTGCTGCTCATGAAGTCAGACTCTAAAGCACCGAATCCACCAAGCGGTCCGGGTCAGTCCGGTTCTGTGATCAGTTTCCACTGTCAAACATTGGACGTGGTACCAAAATAACCGATCTCCGCTTACCAGTGAGGGGACGGCTGGGCAAGATCAGGGTTTACCCATCAAACTGGACTGAACCGGATCACTTGGTGGATACAGGACTTAAAAACATCTTCTTGCACTTCTCACTGAAAGAGTCGGACTGAGTTGAATCAGGGGGTGATGATTCTCTCCTGAGGTTAAATTAAGATTTGAAGCAAACGTTCACCGTGATCATGTGACTGATGTGTTGGTGTTTGTTTTTTCAGGCCATCGTGTTCGTGGTCGGAGGAGGAAACTACATCGAGTATCAGAACCTGGTGGACTACGCTAAGGTTACGATAAGACTTCTGTTATTACTGCAGAGAATGTTTTCACTATCAGAGGAATCGTTTAATCGTCTCCTCCTCCTCCTCTCCTCTTCCTCTTCCTCCTCCTCCTCTTCCTCCTCCTCTTCCTCCTCCTCTCCTCCTTCTCCTCTTCTTCCTCCTCCTCCTCTTCTTCCTCCTCCTCCTCTTCTTCCTACTCCTCCTCCCCCTCTTCCTACTCTCCTTCCTCTCCTTCCTCCTCCTCCTCTTCCTCCTCCTCTTCCTCCTCCTCTCCTTCCTTCTCCTCTTCCTCCTCCATGTCCTCCTCCTTTCCTTCCTCCTCTTCTTCCTCCTCCTCCTCTTCTTCCTACTCCTCCTCCCCCTCTTCCTCCTCCCCCTCTTCCTCCTCTCCTTCCTCTCCTTCCTCCTCTTCCTCTTCCTCCTCCCCCTCTTCCTCCTCCTCCTCTTCCTCCTCCCCCCTTTCTCCTCTCCTTCCTCTCCTTCCTCCTCCTCCTCCTCCCCCTCTTCCTCCTGCTCCTCTCCTTCCTCCTCCTCCTCTTCCTCCTGCTCCTCTCCTCCCTCCTCTTCCTCCTCCTCTACCTCGTCCCCCTCTTCCTCCTCCCCCTCTTCCTGCTCCTCCTCTACTTCCTGTCCTTCCTCCTCCTCCCTCCTCCTCCTCCCCCTCTTCCCCCTCTTCCTCCTCTTCCTCCTCCTCCTCCCCCTCTTCCTCCTGCTCCTCTCCTTCCTCCTCCTATTCCTCCTCCCCCTTTCTCCTCTCGTTCCTCCTCCTCCTCTTCTTCCTCCTCCTCCCCCTCTTCCTCCTCTTCCTCCTCCTCCCCCTCTTCCTCCTGCTCCTGCTCCTCTCCCTTCTCCTCTTCCTCCTCCTCCTCCTCCCCCTCTTCCTCTTCCTCCTCTTCCTCCTGCTCCTCTCCTTCCTCCTCCTCCTCTTCCTCCTCCCCCTCTTCCTCCTCTCCTCTCCTCCTCCTCCTCCTCTCCTCTTCCTCCTCCTCCTCCTTGTCCTCCTCCTCTTCCTCCTCCTTGTCCTCCTCCTCCTCCTTTAGTCCACAGGCTCCATATTAAACCTCTAACTTGTGTGTTTTCAGATGAAACAGGGGAAGAAGGTCGTTTACGGCTGTAGTGAACTCTTCAATGCTACTCAGTTCATCAAACAGGTGAGACTCAAACTTCCTGAACTCTCCTCCCCTTCCTCCTTCTCCTCCTCCTCCGATTCTTCCTCTTCCCTATCTGTCTTACAAACACATGATAACGAGCTGAACTCATATTATGATTGAACACTGTGTAGCCCGTTCTGTATCATTTAGATTTCAAAATAAGATTGCATTGTTACAAGTTACAATTCATTTAGCAGACGCTTTTATCCAAAGCGACGTACATCAGAGAGTCAGTACTAATCCATTCATACACCGCCACCAAAGCAGCGGGAGCAATGCGGGTTTAAGTGTCTTGCCCAAGGACACATCGGACATGTTGCTCAGCTGGGGATTTAACCCTCAACCTTTCGGTTGAAAGGCGATGACTCTACCAACTGAACTACAGCCGTCCCATTTTCAGCATTCTCATTGTTTCAGATTCATTTTAGTAACTCCTGAACTTTTCCTCCACAGCTCTCCCAACTCGGCCAAAAGTGACGGGGACGCCAACGACACCTGTGAATCTCTCTCTCTCTCTCCCTCTCCCTATTGCTCACCCCCTCTCTCTCTCTCCTCCCCCTCTCTATCCTCCCCCCTCCCCCCTCTCTCTCTCTCTCTGTTTTCTCTTTATTCCAGTTGTTTTATAAAACTCTGTAAATGGACTCAAACATTTTCTGTCTTCACTGTAATAATTTTCTGTCTCTGAGCTCTAATGATAATAAAACTAGAATCTAACCTTACACTGTCTTCACTCGTCTCTTGATGCGATGCCACGATGCACCACGGCGGGTTGCATCCTCTGTTGACCATCTTACTGAACATGGCAGCTTTTTAATCCATGAGGACGAGCGGTCAGAAAAACAAACTCTGTTTTTGAACTATTTAGAAAGTGCTTTAAACATCAACCTTTCAGCCTTTATTTCCTCGCCATGGTCATGTGGACACACACATCATCATCACCTGAAGGCTGCAGCCTGGCACTGTGTGTTACAGATCTACTCGTGTGTTCCTCCAAAAAACAGAGAGATCAACTTGAGGATTATGTCATCGAGGTATTTTAATCTGTGTGTGTGTGTGTGTGTGAATGTGTAGTGACCAGTCTGGGAAATAAAAGTTCAGTAGTTCATAAACATTACGATAGACAGAGGATGTCTTTCCTAAGGCGATGAAGACGATCGTTTTAGTTTCTCATGTCTTTAACCCTTTAAAGCAGCTTCCTGCTAACTCACTGATGCTGTAAAATCTGACCACTCTTCAGTTTGCACCAGCGACCAGACAAATACGATTTGAACACTTGGAGACCTTCGGCTCGTTGATCGTGTTTTAGGTTAAAGGCAGGGTTGGTCGTTTCCTCCAGATCCACTTATTAAGATTCTGGTTGAAATTCAACACCCTCGTTTTAGAACAAGCTTTATCCATTGTTGTTTCTCCTCACTGATTATATTTTCTCTTCTTTGCTGCTACGTCCACGTCCGTCATATTCACCGGTTTGAATCTCATCCAATCACTGCATTATATCCACTCCTAAACTCATCTGCTGCGCTGTCATTGGCTGGAGGAAACACACCAGCTCTGCCCAGGAACTACCCGAGTCAACCAGAACAAACCAGAACAGTAAAATCCAGTCAGAGGACAGAGTCTCTGCAGACACAGTCACCACCACACATGTATGGAGGCCCTGAAGGACATTTAGACACTACAACACTTTGAGGGTGAGACGGACTTCAGGGGGAAGAATGAATTCCAGATTTTAAAATAGATAAATGTCTAAAAACTAAAAACACAATCATGGTGAACGATCATGGTAGAAGTGATTTATTCTCAGATCAAAACGTGACTCATCAGCAGACGGGTTTCATTTGGAGTCTGTTAGTTCAGCTCTGTGTGAGACAACACGTGTTTCTGTTTCTATTATTTCTACTGCAAAGACCACCCGCCCTCTCACACACATACACACACACACACAGACGGCTAATCCCAGCTCAGTGTCGCTGATGTCGACTCTGTTATGTTGACTTAATGACCTGAGAGCTGAAATAATGAGGAGCAGAAACAGGAGGGAAAGACGAGTGAGAGTTTAACATGGAGGTGATGAAGAGGAGGGAGATAAACGGAGACACATGGGAGGAACGAGGAAGAGACAGAACAGGGAGAATGGATTGGTCAAGACCAGATGATCCAAAGGAGGAAGAGAAGGAGCAAACAATAGATGGAGGATGAAGTGAGAGTTATAAAGTGTGATGAGAGAAGGAGATAGGAAGGAGGAGGAGGCCGGATGGAGAGGGAGGATATGTTTAAAGGAACTAACTACACCTAACTGAGCAAGACCCCAAAGTGATACAATAACACAATTAAAGGAGCAGTATGTAACTCTGACACCTAGTGGTTAAAATGGGTACTGCAGTCCAAATTCTAAACATTGTAGAGAGCTGTCTCCCCCCGCCCCCTCCTCTCTAGAGTCCATGCTCATGCAGGTTGCCATGTGGTGACACTGAAGCTTGAGTGTTTATCCAGCTCTGCATCGGTCTGTAAACCTTTCTGTGTTCTAACCTCTCTCCATTTTTCAAAAGCATCTCCAATATTGATCCTAGTTTGAGCACGTTTCTGCTCGTGGAGCTTATTAGAAACATGCAGAGGCTTTTTAGGTCGGGTACAATCACTTCTATCTGAACCACTTCTCTTGCCCGCTTCCATCGCTGCAACACCTGTTGACCTGATAACTGCTCTCATATCTGGCAAATCGAGGGGCGTCCAAAACGTGCCTTAAAACCTCCTACCTTCTCTGGTCCAAACAAATCCAGAGCATTCAGGAGCAGAATCTAAAGTTAGAAGGAGGACATACTGGCTGCTGCATTGTTGTCAGAGAAGCCAGCACTTCAACATATCATGTTTCCTTAATGTCTGATCATATAGTAAGGTCACTTTATCATCTCACTCACTACACATCTCACTGACTGGACCTTTGGAATAATACCAGACCTCATTACCAATTTCTGCTAAATGTGAATTATTTGTCCTGTGAGGTAAAGTCTGTGTTTTTATGAATGTGACATTCATAACTAAAATATGTAAAACAGATTTTAAAGTTACAATAGTTCTCCTTTAAAATGTTGTGGATAACAAGTGCATGTTTTAATAACCTCTCACACAGTCTGACCTGATGACAAGGAAGCACGAGTATGAGGAAACAGAAGGAGCCTCCTGCTCTCTTATGATCATAACAGAGGAGCTGCAGGAGCAGAGTCTCCTCCTGCTGAGTTCTTAGAAGGAGGTCTGGAGGTCAAAGTTTGACCTTCGCTCCTCTCCGTGTGTTCAGAGCAGAAATCAGTCCAGCATGTGCAGGGCGATAGGCTAACAGTTTCCACCTGCTTCCAGTCTTTTTGCTACGCTAAGCTAAGCTAATGGTGCGTTCCATTCGATCTGGGAGGGCAGAAATTTCAAGTTGCCAGTCGGATACGTCATCAGGATTTTCAGCACTGATGCTTTTTAGAGCTGGAGGCTGTCTGCCATTTCGGTACTTAAAAACAATAAATGCTATAATATCAGGTGTCTTTAGGACTTATATTTTTGTTGCTGGTAACAAACAGGTATGGTTGTCATTTAACTTTTCCTTGAAACAGTTAAAAAGATCTGAGTAGAGATGTTGACACCCTCAGCACTTCCATGTGCACACACACTTTGAAGAAACACACACACACTTTGAAGAAGTCCATGTTCTCCTCCTCGTGATGGTCGCCCCCCCCTCCCCTGCAGCTCGACGTGGGGGTCCTCTTTTTATCTGCAGGATGGTATGATGCGTTCAGGAACACTTCCTCCCTGCCTGTTGAAGCTTCAGATCAGCCGAGAACAAAAATCAGAAAGTCTTTAATTCTCCGTTAAAGCCGTCAGTGTTCAGGGTTAATTAACTGTAATAATCATAATACTGTTATGTAACACATATTTTAAAAAAAGGTCTACCAGGGTTAAAGAAACAGATTAAGAGGGAGAAGCCTCAGCGGCACCCCCGGAGGCTGAAATGTGTACTACAGCCTTCAACACAAAGACCAGTTTGTGTCCTGCCGTGCCGTCTCGTCCTCGGGATAATATTTACCATCCTCAGAGAGAAATTATGTCTGACTTATTTTCTCCACACAGAACAAACGTGCTCTGAATGTTTCCACAGATTTTCTGCTTCATTAGCTGGAAAAACACAAATCTGACTCAGAGTGAGAAACAACATCACTCAGAAACCTTCTGTCAACACACTTTGAAACTCTGCTGTCTGCTTGACAAAAGAAGCAGCTGAAAGATTCAAAATTGATTCCCAATAACAAACTGAATCTCTTCATTCCTTCATCCGCCAGTTTAAACTAATAAGAAACGTTTATAGAGATCCTAATTAGATACATGAATCCATTCATAAGGTTAAAATATTTCAACTGAAGAAATTCCTGGAAAGACAACCTCATAAACAATCGGATTCCTCTTCAATTTGATAATTCATTCATTTATTCATCAATCCGTCACTGATTGCCACGAGACACAAAGAGAGAGAGAGAGAGAGAGAGAGAGTATCTACTCCAAGCAGCAACCTCTGGTGTTAAATAATGAAGCCGATGTTGAAGTGCAAAATCCTGCAGTTCCTCCAGTGTCCACTAGAGGCTGGTTGCAGAAGCACAGGAAGTCACATACACACCCATTCTAAAAAGCCTGTTTTTACAGCAGAGATTAACATGTTTACAGCCTGGTTCAAAAAACAAATAGGTCTGATGAGCTCATGTCTCGATCGTGAATGTTTTGATGAATCATCCGGTTTACTTGATGAAGGATAAGAGTTATTCACAATAAGGCGTGTAGCTGACATGATTGACAGACTTAAAACCCGCCTTATACTCCAGCTCTCAGCCTGTCGTTAGGTTGACTGAAAGTTGGGCTGAGACAACATTTCCAGCATGGAGACCGCCATCGATGGGACTCCAGCGCCCCCTGCAGGAACAGACGGGGGACATCACTCAGGCACTCACTCAAGAACTTTTCGCCAACAGCTTTTGTGTTTTTAAAAGAACAACGGGGACGACACAACACCTACACTCATTTAACCTTTATGTATCCAGGTTTGTCCCACTGAGACTTCCTGTTAATGAAACTCCTCTTGTTTCCTCTCAGTGTTTTTTACTCCCTGAGGTCTAAAGCTCTCAGGAGGCATTCAGGTACAAGAGATAAAGATGAGGAGGAAGAAAAAGACAAGACACCAGAGAGAGAGTTAAAGAAAGAAAGAAGAAATTTAAAACCTGTCTTGGTTTGCTCCTCAGCCGTCTCTGAGGCGCCACAGGAAACTCAAAAAACACAGCTTTTATGATGATGATACTTTAGCGTCAAATGTTTCTTCCATCACAGCAACTTCAAAAACACACAAAATCACATTAAAAGTACAACGGCATCCACATTATACAGTTTTCAAGTCTTTACAAAAAGTTTACACGACTTTAACTCCAGATTTAATGTAAGACTCAAACGAGTAATTCAGGCAAACATCAGGAGAACATGGAGCCCTGTGTCTCTGGTTTAATGAGTGAAATATGTTTTTACTTTTATGAAGTAGATTAAAGTAAAGGACCAATCAGTGAGATGTGTAGTGAGTGAAATGATAAAGTGAGCTTACTATATGATCAGACATTAAGGAAACATGCTATGTTGAAGTGCTGGCTTCTCTGACAACAATGCAGCAGCCAGTATGTCCTCCTTCTAACTTTAGATTCTG